AAGTCCCACTGACTGCTGAATCCGGCCGCGTTCTCCTCAATACAACATTGAACATTTTCAGCGTACTAGCGACATCGCCGTATACTGTAGCTTTGCTCGACCAACGAGCTGGGTTTAGACAGGATAGCAGAGCGTCTGGTCAGCAATTTCCAACCAGCCACTTCGACTCGCTTAAGGCTGAAATGCAGGTAGATTTTTGGTACTTGGAATGGCCAAGTGATTCTTGGTCATAACATGCTCTCGGCGTGCCCTCCACTGCGGTTGCGTATCGAGAATTCCCAATACAGCTCCCCATTCAATATCCGGACTGAAATTTCATCTCCATGGTAGTTGGAAAGCCGCACAGCAGGCAATTCTGTTGTCAGTATCAACGTCCTGCCGAAAAGTCGAATGAACCCACAAACCGACGTGGATAAGACAGTTACAGTGGTAGAGCCGAACGATGTTTTCCACTATTTTACTCCCCGACCTTCACGAGGATGTTCTCATGAAGGCTTGAGGACATGCAGGGCACCGAACACGGCAGTTATCTCGACTACAGAGTCTTTTGATTCGATCGACAATTGATTATTACACGCTGGAATATTCTCGAAAATAGCGTGCCCTCTGTGCCCTAGTTTTGCAGTGTGTGTGCTTCTACATTTGACTTCCGAGGTGTACCTACAACTTTTCTCCTCATCAGCACTGAGCCCCTCGAATTATCTCGACTCAAATCCAGTCCCGTCCAGGCGCGCATGATGGATCTCACTCACACACTCCACCCGGCACATATTCTTCTGTCGCCCAGGATCCTGCCTTCCGATTGGAGGCGCCCATCATCAAGGAGAGAATCATTTCCACGCTATATCGTAGTTAATTGAACCGAGGGGCCCCAGCCCACACTTCAGCAGCGCTGCGAAGTTAGGGCAGTGGTGCGGAGTAGGACCCACCCCGGGACTGACCACCGAAACTTACAAAGCCTCGCATGCCTCGTTGCATCGCCTCCCATCGCCGGTGCCACTACTCTCCACATCCTCAAAGAACTGAACACTTTCCGAAGAGCTGCCTAGGGCCCCCGCCGAAGACTAGCTCATCCATCTCTGACTTTGCGCAGCTCGGCTCTGCTCTGCTCTGCTCTGCTCAGCTCAGCTCGACACTCCACATCCTAGCTCCTAGGACGAGACACCGAGATCGAAACTGCAACTGATTCTACCCGATTCTGCGCGCAGTTGTGCCTAAAGTCTACAACATGACAGATCCAGAGGTGAAAAGCACTGAATCAAAGCGTGCAGTTATCCTCTGCTCTACCGATAAAAACCGAACCCTGACCGAAATTTTTCCTGCGGCCTGCCTGCCTCGGATCACAGAGCACGAGGGTCGCTGAGCTGGTGAGGGCCGCCCCTTACCGAGCCTACTACGCCCGCACACCCCACAAAGCAGACGGGTACGAGCGACCTCTATAGGCGAGAGAGGCTCTTTGGGGACCGACGACAGTAGCTCCGATTTCAAACAATTTCTCAATCATAAAAACCCGTCAACCCTATCACAAACGCAAAAGAATCTCGAAACCTTCGACTCAAACTTTGACTGCAAAAATCATTCGAACTTCTCCTTCGCCAAGACCTACTGTCCAAAACCCCTCCGAATGAATTCAATCGCAGGCTCAAGAAAAACACCGAAACTACACGTAGAAACCGTAAACTGTCACGATTTTGGCAAACGGGAGTTCTTCGAGTGAAATAAACGGGAGTTTCCCCACTGGAATTCCCGTCGGTCAATTACCCTACTGGCAACAAACCGTCACCGTCACACACATGAGTCAAGCCCAACCCACTCCACACTCGGAGAATCTAGGTCGACGCAAAAGGGAAAGTCGCTCTACGCTCCCGACACTTCCAGGCTCGACTCGAAGAACTAACGTTCTTCGAGCCGTCCCCGACTGTATACCCCTCGTGACCCGAACCCTAACTTCACGGCTAAATATAGTAAGTGTCTAAACTTTGTGAGCCGACTCGTAACTACATGACATCAACAAGAATGGGAGGATGTATGGCATCCAATTGCTTTCTATTCTCGAAAGTTGATGGCGGCGGAACAAAATTATCACACGAAAGAACGGGAGGAGTTAGCCATTGTGTTAGCAACCAAACATTGGAAGCATTACTTGGGTGATAAGTAGTTTGTGGTGGAGACTGATCATAAACCCTTGGTTTATTTGGAAACTCAGAAGCATCTGTCCAAACGACAAATTCGATGAGCAAAGTGGCGTCAACGCTTCAACATGAAGATTGTGTACGTGGAGGGAAAGAAGCAACTTGCAGATGCTCTCACACGCATGCCTTGTTTGAAACATGTTGCAGAAGTGAAAATTCAGGCGGATTGATGGAGCAAGATGTCACAAGCCACAAAGGAGGATGAAGAGATCACTCGAGCACTACAAATTGGAAAGGCAGAGAAATCTCGAGGTTTGGCGTTTTACAATCAGCGTATATGGATTCCACAAGATCACGATTTGCGCACAATGATTTTGGCAGAAAGTCATGATACAACCATGGCAGGTCATGTGGAAGTGGAGAAAACCGTGGATAGTATACAATGAGTGTACTTGTGGCCAAAAATACGTGAGGATGTGGAGTCTTATGTTCGAAGTTGTGTTGCTTGTCAACAAAACAAGGCAAGTAATAAAAAACCAGCGGGTTTATTACATCCTCTTCCTATTCCCGAACAGCGGTGGGAACATGTCACCATGGATCTTGTATGTGAGTTACCAAGGACTTCGTTAGGACATGATTCAAGGGTGGTTTTTGTGGACAAATTGAGCAAGATGATTCACATTAGGCCAACCACAAAAACAGTAATAGCTCCACAACTAGCTCAATTGTATCTAGATGCAGTTTTTGTGAATCATGGCTTAAGCAAAGTGTTAATCACGGATAGAGGTACTCACTTCACTAGTTTATTTTGGAAAACTTTGTTTAGTTTTTTCAAAACAAAACTAGCAATGTCAACGGCCTATCACCCTCAAACGGATGGACAAACTGAGAGGGCAAATAGAACCATAGAGGATATGTTACGAGCATTCACATTAGAAGAGCAAGAAAAGTGTGACAACCTTTTGCCACTTGTGGAATTTGCATATAACAATTCTGTTAATGCATCCACAAAAATGTCTCCATTTTTTCTTATGTATGAAGCTCATCCTATAACTCCTTCAAGTTTGATCAGATTTCCCAAAGGAGAGGAGTTTTTGACCAAAGTTGCAGCAGTCAACGAATTTGTGGAGCATATTCACCGAGGACTACATCAGGCCAAAGAGAAGTTGGTGATAGCTCAAAATCGGCAAAAGCAGCATGCCGATGCTCATCGTAGAGAAGTGGTTTTTGAGGTTAGAGATCATGTTTGGTTATCTACAACGAATTTGTCTCTTGTAGGAACACCAAAGTTGAACCCTAGGTTCATTGGTCCATTTTTGATTTTAAAGCGTGTTGGTGAAGTGTCATACAAGTTGGAACTTCCGTCACATATGTAAATACATCCAGTATTTCATGTGTCACGATTGCGAAAACATGTACCACGACGAAAACAATTCACCAACCAACCAGCACCACCTCCTCTTCCAACCTTGATAGTAGATCATGAGGAGTTTGAGGTAGAAAAGATACTCAAGAAATGTATTCGAGGTCATAAATATCCCAAAGTAGAGTATTTGATTCAATGGAAAGGCTATCCATCGTATGAATCAATTTGGGAACCAGCTAAAAATTTAGCAAATACACCTTTGATAGTTCAGGAGTTTGAACGTATGTGCAACGAGGACGTTGCATCTTAAAAGGAGGGAGGTTTGTAACCATCTTTAGTTAGTTAGAACTAAAGTAGAGGTTACTCTAAATATTGATGTAAATACTTTAGTGTGCACTAGAGCTAGCTGCCACGTCAGCGATCCGCGTACTTGGTAGGTACCTAGTGGATGTGTTAGTTGACCGTGTCACGTCAGCAATCCGTGTGTCGGTAGTTAAGGATTGAGTGTATTAGTTAGTGTGTTAGTTGGGTGAGTCACGTCAGCGATACGTGTGCTTGTTAGGGTTATTCGCCACGTCATCCATCCACTAGGAGTGGGATGGATGGTGGGGAGTAGATTTTATTTCCTTCTACTTGTTGGTGAGAGCTATATAAGGGAGAGTATAACCTTGTTGGTATCTCTCATCTTAAGAGTTTACGTTTCTATCTTCGAGTGAGCTTCTCTCTAAACCCTTGTGTTACAACGAGACACTAAAATGAAATTTTATCAACTTCATGTGAATCCTATGTTTGTTTATTGTGAACAAGGATATTTAATTGCGGAGATCTCTACATTTTTACGTCAAATTATTGCTAGACATAGAATATGATCATATTTTGGGAAATATGATCATATTATGTATTATCATATTATGATCAAATACGCTGGTTGAACATTGATAAGATTAAATGTATTTGTAAGTTATATGATGGAAGAAAAATTGAGTACGAAGAGCATCTGTTTGTCACTTGTATTAGATATCTAAATATTAAAGTCTCTTAAAATTATTGAGAGTTTTTATTGTTTGTTTCAGACTAAACCTTGTACTTTAGATGATTACATTAGAGATGTTATTAGTTGCTGCTGTTATGTGTTGTTTGAGTTGGATTGCTTGCATAATAGTTTTAGACATTTTGAATTATATCTCATGTACTTATTTATTTATCTTCAATTATATGTAGTTATGAATTAAACGTAATGAAAATGACTTTTAATATAATTTTTAAATATTATTGTAAGAAATTCATATAAATAAATTCTAAACATGACATTTGATCAAAATATAAAATTATAATTATGATTATAATTACAATGTTATATTTTGATACTTGAAATTTATAAATAACAATTCAAAAATTTTAAAATCATAACATCCAATAATAATCACAATTAAAATGAACATATGATAATAATGAAATATTAAATATTTATTTCATTTCAAATTTGAAAAATGTGAGACAACAAAAAATAAAACCATTTATTTCAATCGATCGTACATTCATGGCAATGACCTCATCCGAGAATGAAAAACTGTGCGGGGGAGAATGTGTATTCAAAGCTTGCTGATTGGGGGATTGCTGTCCAGGGAAGGAGGCACGGGTCCTTCCCATTTCTGGGACACGGCAAAGGCGAGCTGGTCCAGTCGATCGGATCCGAAGATGAAGTGTTCGGGCGCCTGGAGCTGCCACAGATCCTCGACCTTTTGGTGGGCGTCGTGATTCAGGTAGACGAAAATGGACGGGGCTCCGAATGCTCCATTCTTGAGGGCGAGCTCTGTGTTCTTCTGCACAGAGTGTGTCGGCAGCATCGCATGTCAGTCGCATCAGCAGGCAAGCTTGTGATGTGAACTTACCTGGAAATTGAAGCTCGATGGAGGTTAGTTAGTGAAAGAAAATTCAAGCAAACCTTCAAACACTCCTTCACGGAGCCTTCGCTCGCTCTCTGCAGGAAGGTCTGCGATTCTTGCAGCGAGTAGCCTGCGCTCGTCAGGCATCGCAGGACGAAGTCCGGGTCGTGCATGTCCAGTTCTTGCACATGCCTCGTTCCCCATATGGCCTTCCAAGTGGCCACAAGAGTGTTGGCAAACTCTTCCGATTCGTAACCCTGCGCACAACACGCGCACAATTCCTCTCAGGCCTCAACCACCGCTTGTAATGTAAATGCGTCATTCATGTACGAGAGAGGGACAAAGCGAGCCGTGCAAACCTTTTCAATGGCAACTGCAGTCAGAGCACGCTGTATCAGAAGAGAGTTGAATTTCGGAGATCCGAATGTAGAAGGAAACTCCAGCAGTGGGATCTGCATAAACCGAGTGTTCAGGGCCAAATCCTTGTGAATCCATGCTCCTGTCGTTCACAAGGCCATGTCACCCATCAAACCCAATGACAACTACCGAGTACTGTAACTGCTGCAGTGACAATTGCATTTGTAGTTGAAATAACTGTGAGCTTAAAACTTCGATAACAACTGCATGCTTTGTAACAGCCGCGGAGGAGGAGGAAGAGGAAGAAGAAGGGTCGTCTTTTTTCCTCACTCCATTCGCCATCAGACTCATCGACCTCGTGCGAAATCACATCTGATCAGCATCAAAGCACGTTCAACATGCTTCACAAATGAAGTGAACTGACCTCTGGCCGGCAGCAGCGTGGGCATCACGTTCCCACTGCCCTTGAATATTGCTCCCAGCAACACGGGCCTGAATTGCAGTCTCACTCCCCATCTCTCTTTGTACCTGTTAATCACAATCCCAAATTTGAGTCCTTTGCACAGCGATTCGACAGGAAGTGACAAATTGTAGCAAGATAGGGCCGTGACTTCTCATGCCTCCTGCAAGAGTGGCGATGTTGACGAGTTCAGTCAGCTCTTTGCATATGACATCAACCTACTGCTGCACTTCCACGGACACAAAAGCTTCGATTCGGGCGGGAATCGAGGCATGAAACTCAGAGCTTGTTCATATTCGGCCGACTGCTGATCGATGGACAAGATTGCTGGACATAATTACCGGAGAAGAACTTGGGTGCAGAACCACGAGTACACGGAGGCAACGTCAACACACACGATGATCACCGGAGTTGTCATTGTGCACGCTCGAGGGATTGATCTGTAATTCGATGGCTCGATGAGCGTGCCCTTCCTGAGAATTCGAGGGTTGAGGTGTACAACAAACGCCTTCGTTCCCGACAACACTTTAGAGGCAGAATGACGACACAAACTCGCACATCTGCAGGCCTCTTATAAACACTGACCGCTTCTTAAGTAGTCGGACTACTCTGGTTCGCGTCAATCGGACTTGTGGCAACTCTTCTTCCTTCTCTTCCGGTCTTATTCGGTGCACCGTCTGCTTGCATCAGATCCGACATCTCAGGAATTGGAAGTCCAGCGAGTGGCGAACCACTTTCATAGGATCCTTTGAAGCCGATGCTTGTGTGCTTCAAATGAAAACCGAGAGCTCTTTAGAAAAATCTAAATATCTTTAAACTGCTTTCACGAGCGAAGACTTTTCCATCAAGACAAGACTTTTCCATCGGTTCCTCAATGTGCCGAATCGAAGGGACTGCAGCGGTCTGTGCAAAAGTCAAGCTTTGAATCAGGCGTTGGTACAAACTGACAGGTAGGCGCCCGTGGGCTGGACTTCTGTGCACACATTGTGGGAACGGGTGCAAGCAGTGATGATAAAAATTGAATTTATTAATGGGAGTACAAGGGACATAAGCGCTCGATCGGACTGATTCTGCTACAACCGTGTGCCAACTTGCCAACAGTGTCAAGTCGAGAATTCGTGGCCCCGCGGTCCGGAAGGTCGCGAGAGGATGACTACAACTGAAACGACGAGACAAGGTTGCGAAGGAACGAAGATAAGACAGAGAAGATGAACTGATGATGATGATGATGTTGAGGGTGAGATTTCTGTTCAGTAAAATGAATGTTAAAATGAGTGTCTCGAATGGGAAAGTTAACTTCCCAGCTGCTGAGGAGAAATCTAAACAAAATTTAACTTGATGATATGAGGCCACCGCATAGCAGCTATCGGCACTCCTCAGTCCTACCCTAAGGGCCTATTCGTAACCTCTTGCCACAACTAATCTTCAAGGGATGGCTGTCGACATGAACTATGAACAACGACGACAAATGCACCGATGAGAGAGTAACCTATACAAAGTGACAAGTTCACTGTAAAAAGTGATGGTGTGAAGCACTAGACCACAAAATTTGCTTAGACCCACCCTGCCTGACTTGACGACTCCAACTACTGCCTACTCCTGAGCCTTTCGTTTAGTGTGACCGGTGTTGCGCTTATGTCGACTGAAATCAGACACAAATCGGAAGGTTTGCTCGCAAATTGGACAGGTGTATGGTCGTTCGCCAGTATGTACTCGTATATGCTCAGTGCGTGCCCAAGCCCACTTGAAAGCATTCTGACAGCCCGGCCAGGGACATTTCAGAGGGCGGTCGGGTTGATGGACGCGACGGTGCTGCAGCAAGTATTTGTGCATGAAAAACCGTTTGTTACATCGTGTGCACCGGTTCTTTTTGTGGATGCCCAGCTCTGCCTCGGTGGCAAAACTCATTCTGCAGCCATCAAGATCGCACTGAAACTCCTTATCCTCCTCGCCCTTCGGTTTGCGCCCGACCACTTTCTTTTTCTTGGGTCTCCCCTTTTTCTTGCCCTTCTCGGCCGTCACCTTGGGCTCATCCCCATCGTCACCACTGTCAAGTTCGTCGACTGGCAGCACCCGAGCTCGCAATCTGGTACTCTGACCTGCTGACATATTCACCAGTCAACTCACAGTTTCAGATTTATGATGGCCTGGTCTCAACCCGACGGTGCATGGTCCTATGAGTTTGTACTAGGATGAGTAGAAGCTACTTCTTATAAAACAAGCCCAATCAGACATGTTTGTCCGAGAAGAATAAACCCTCACAAGATAAGATGAAAAAGAAAGTTAATGACATATGAGGCACTAGATGAGCAGGATGAAGGAGTATACACTCCGAAGACAGAATATAACATGCACAGATGAACAAATCAAGTTGTTTCAGTGACCGAATTCCTAGGCACCATCAGATGTCAAACCGTGGTGAGCTGGCATGGGTTGCGAAGCTCGAAGGCAAAGAGCTTAAACGCAGGCGAGCAACTCCAGGGGGTGTGAGAAACTCAAGCATACGAATGCGATGACAATAGAGAGCAAAGATTCTATATGAGATCTCCTAGCGACGACGAGTGCAAAGCTTTTGAAACTTCACAATGACATAATGTTCTTATACAAAAGATCCGACGAGATATGGGAGGTGGAATGTAGAGACAACAGTGATACATGCGAAGCTTTTAGACTATTAGCTTGAGCGTACCTTCGCACACCTCCTTTACCCTTCAGGAGGTGAGCTAAGGTAACCTCGTTACACTCGTCGAGGTGGTAAATTATGGATTCGTTCCCATTCACGACCCATGTAGCAAGCTACACCAAGCTAAACTGCTTGAAGTCTAAGCACAGTTGCAAAAACAACAGCACAAAGCTGCAAGATTGATCTATCCGACCAGGCAGTGTGTGAGACACTATGCCTCGTTGAATATAAAAGAAAATTCATAAGCATAGCTGTTGGCAAACAAAGAGAGAGAATTCCGATTTTTCTCAGAAAATGGGCTATTTTCTACAGTGGAGATCTATGTGAGGATGGATGGACAGAGAGAAGTGAAAAAAACTTCTATGAACTGTCATATCAGGTGAAAGGTCGAAGGTTCAGAGGAAGGTACACAGGGTAGAAAAAACATGGCAAAATTTGACGCATCCGAGCAATTCCATGCGATGTAAGAAACTCTTCGAAAACAAAGTTGAAATAATTTCTATCTGAATTCATGGGATAATAGAAGAAAGTGGATGGCAAATAAGTTAGCGAACCAAGAATACAAGGCATTTCTTATCCAAAAAAAGAAGAACGATTGAAACAAAAAGGTCATATGGGAGATTGAATGGGGAGAGAACAGTCAATAAATTATGATGTAACAGCATGGGGAAGAGCAAGGCCGTCTTCGAAGCAACCAGTCGTTCATAGGTTCTATCTCTGAGTCTCTTGCGGGTCTGCCTTCCCAAAGAAGTCAAACTACTTAAGAGTATGGGGTCTCCTCAGAGTTTCGGGGAAGGTTTCCAAAAAAATAATATTGGCCAACTTCGCTTGGCTCTTTACTTCGGTGGTTCATTCAAGCAAGTTCGAAATCATAACTAGGGGCGAAATAAAATTTGTTTTTACACACAAAAGGTCACACAAATATGCGCTATTATATGAGGAGAGTCATAAGTACAGTTTGAAGAAACGGCACGATCAATAGCTAGTAGACGGCAGGATGTAGATTAGATTGCGGAACCTCCTCTGATCAGGGCTTTTTCATTCAACATGGAGTTCATTCCAATCGATGATTGATCGATTGACATAGCCATGTGAGATCCAAGATTCCACACTTACTAATCCGTCTTTCTACATCTACAGCCCCTCTATAACCTGCTGAGCCCCCGCGGAAGAACTCAGAAAGCACTATTAGTTTCATCAAATGAGCGTGTGCCGTGTCAATCTCGCTGTCATTTTGGTGAAGCTAGCACATAAAACCTAAAATGGTTCACATCAAGCTGTTCGGTAATTATGAAGGATGATGCCAGGCTGGAACTTAGAGTTCCAGCCGGTAAACAACCAGAAAAGTAGTGAAGATGGGTACAAAACCATGTGAAGATAGCTGTACATTGTGGAGAGGAGAGGTCAGCTTTCAGAATAACTTCTCCGTAGTATTCAGATCAGAAAAAGGGTGTTACCTATGAGAAACATGATTCCCTACGTAAGCACATACAGAAAGAAAAGCTTACTACTGTGGGTGAATACATAATACAGATTAAAATAGGGTGACGTGATTTTAAGTTTTAGCAGGTTTTCAGACTAAAAGTGTGGCTACAAAATCATCTGTGACGACCAAGAAGATCCGGTGAGATAAGTAGAATACTCAATCAAGCACTGTACAGGTATAGATTCCTTGTATATAATAGTACATGATCAACCGCAGGGGATAATTATACAAGGGAACCAACGAATCTCAAATCATGGGTGGTGCGTATTCAGAGTGCCAACGAACTACATCAGACTGAAAGACTCATGTAGACAAAGACCCAAAAGACGCGAAATATCATGGAGACTGGACCAAAATGAGAAAAGAGTAAAAACAAATAAATGCAAACCTGTTTTCAAGACATCAAAGGAAATGATCTATGACGAAGAAAAGAGCAAATTCAAGAACCCTCCATGCAGTCAGATGGAAAGAGGGTATCAAGTGTGCGGCTGAGCCCCGACTCAGTGTAGGCATGGAAGGGCCGAAGGTGATCTAACAAGGCTGTAGTCTGATCACTAGGAGACCAAATACTACTCGAAAGATGGTAGACCATGTAGCTATAACTTGAGATGTATGATTTCTTTAGACCATGTACACCTATACAACGAGTAGTTGTAGTGGACTGAATATGAAGGTTCCCGCGGGAGGGATGCACTTACATGTACGACCAAGGGGGTGCTCTACTATCTCAGGTCCCCTGTCACAGTCTTCCGCTTCGAAACGAGCCTCCACACACTGCACAGCTTGTATATTATGTGCTTCAGAAGAGTTCATGTCGCGTTTACCCTCGTTTTTATCCGCCTCCAGCTGAGGATGTTTCAGACTTGTCCAAATCTGTTTCAATGGCTTTGAACGCTTGCCTCTAGTCTTACCGAGGGGTTTCCCTCGGCTGGAAGTAATTAGAGGTAACAAGTCTAACGGATGGAGTCCTGATGCACACTGACCAGAATCATCTGGAGGTGGAGAGCGACTCGAGTACGGCATCCTGCTTTTCTGTAACTTCTGTCTACCATAGTCGTGAGAGTCCAGCATGGTTACTGGCACACATGAGTCTTGGTCCTCAACAATTTGCTCTCCAGGAAGATGATTATCACTAGTATCTTCCCCCGCGAAGCCCTCTGCCTGTGCAAGAAACTCGCTCCTACTGTCGGATACGCCATATACATACTTGATATCTCTAAGAGTATGCTGGGATCCATCATCTTCGTAGTCGAACTGTTCGAGCTCATTCTCTGGATGACAAGAAGATTCACAAAGCTCTTGAACATTGTTCACTTCATCAATGAGAGCAACAGTTTTGTCATTATTTGGTGCCAACATAACAGGTTCCTCCTGAAACTTAACGTTCTTGCCGCTGTCATAGGACTTCGCTTTCTTACCGGAAGCGTTTGCAGTGACCCCATCCGTCTTCCTCTTCCACCCTAGCATCTTTGATGTTGTAATACTCTCGACATCATTGACTGGCTCTTCGCTTGACGTGACATCGGCTGGAGATCGTTTAGACTGAGGTCTTTCAAATTCTAGCATCTTCCTCATCTTCAAGGCAGACTGATGTTTCTCTATAGAAATTGAATCCTCAAGCCCATGAGTCTTCACAAAGGAGTTCGACAACTTGCCCTTGATAGGTCTCACGACATTATTTGATACATCATACCCAGTATCCTCGGCTTGATCACTACAGGCACCAAAGTACATGGCATTACCGTTATGGGATGGATGTACACTACTGGGTGGATGTGCTGCCTGGTCAGTAACATTGCCAGCAGTCCAAGGGATGGAACTAGCTATTGGAACGTCGCACCATACAGCAGCTCCCTTTCCAATTCTCTGAGCTCTGCTCCCACCATCTTTGGTTGGATGTTGCGCTGAACAGAAAAGTGAACCTGGTTCACTAGAGGCCCTTGCAATAGGGAGTCTGGACTGGGTCACTATTGGTTGCTGACCAAAAGCGTCGGGTGCAGAAATCTGTGGCTCAGTAAGTGAACCCCTCGAGTGTACCTGGGGAGAGTCAGGAGGATCTCCATTGTGCTTACCAACGGCATCTTGTTCTAGCTCAGACAACACCTGCCAACCAGATTGTGATGGTGCCACTGTCTGAGCCGTTGCAGCCGGCAGAGCACAACTGTCTCCGTCAAGAGGTATCACGCCTTCCGAGTGCTCGGTTAGAGAAGAATCGTCGACACCTAAAAGATCACCAGAATAATCAATAGTAGCATGACATGTCAAATCCAATTTGAGGGAAGCTTTGATGTAAATGGATATTATCTTCAGAATTAATCTCTAAGCTACCAGCACAATTCCGTCCACTAAAAGTCTAACCAAGTGTAGAGTGCTTGACAAGGAAAGAGAGATTTGATACTCAGATGTCTCTGACAGTCAGAAGCTAACAAGAAGAAATTTCTCAACAGTCAGAAGATGACAATTTTTACATCTCCTACAAATCAAACAACGAAAATACACTTCGCACATATGCTTGAAATGAGTCATGCTTTAGGTAGAAACAATCAGATAAGCTTCCTGTACTGTCCGATTAAGAAGACAAAGACTAGAGAAGCAGACGAGATAGTGGAAAATATGTATTATTTCGAATGCAGAAAACAGACGAGATCTCTTTGTACATTTATGGTTACTGGTTACCGGTTAACAAGTTATTGTTGTCCGAAGATAAGTTAGTCGTAAAATCAAAAAATGTTCTAGACTTGAGGGTAAGTGGCATTGGCCAAAGACGTGGGTCCAGAGAGAACAACTACCATCGCAATCACCAGTCTGATAGGTCCCTCCAAAGATCAAGAAAATATCTATGTCAAAGTAAATGAATTGGAGGGAATGCGATAAAACCAGAGACATATAACCTAACTTCAGAGACTCTCCACTCCAGAAAGAAACAATGAAAGTCTTATGGTCGGCATCAACTTGCTGACAAGGTTTGTGTGTATCAGGTTTATACCTGCACTGCGCTGCGTGGTGGGCGGATTGAGAACACAGCTCGAGCCCTTGTTCTTGTCATCAGTTGTTTGTAGATCGTAAGCAGCAAGTGGCGTGGGTTCGGTCATCGCGCTAAGTGATGGAACGACACCATGTGCATTTGAGTGACCTGGATAGCCTGCAGGTTCAGCTCCATTTGATGGAGAACAACAATCATCCTTGTTATTATCCGCGTTTTCCTCTTGGTCGTAGCTGCCTTTGAACTGTAAATTTTGCTGAAGCATAGAAGCATACTGCCCTCCTTCACTATCTGCAGCAGAGCAGGCCTTGTTGGATGTACCGACAAGCTGAACCTTCAACGGGCCCAAGCTAGAATCCTCAGAACCCTGATCCTTAGCTTGCTCCAACATCTTCCACTCATTCCTAGGAACCAAATCTATAGTCCTCACGGCTCCACCACTTGAATCTTCTGAAACTTGATCCTTCCCTTGCTCCGAGATCTTCCTCTCATAAGTCTTAGAAACCATGTGATTTCTCATAGGGCCCAAACTGGAATCTTCAGAAACTTGGTCCTTAGTATGCTCTAACATCTTCCTCTGTCTACCACGTTTTTTCGCCGCGGCGTTTTGGAGATCTTCTACACCCGTCGTCATTGAACCTAGAGGACCATGGATTGTTGGTAGGCCCCTTGTAAGACCTAGCTTCGTGATTTCGGCAGACAAGCTTGAGATATTCACAGACATGGAGGTTGATCCTAAATTTGCCGATGAATCAATGCTCCTACACCCTCCTAGGAGTGGATGCACCTGATTGACTCGCCAAACCTTTCCACACCACTTACCCGCAACCATGCATTTCTTCTTTTTGGAACCCTTCAGCTGCCCTTCAAAATCTACACTAGCGCGGCTTGAAGGGTAGGACTTGAGGTCGTCCACTCGCTTTCGAGATATGCCAAGCCTTCCTGCCATCAGATTACTCCCTGTAGGTCTGCCTGGTTTTGCTTTCTTAAAGGGTCCTGCTCTCAACGCCCCAGTTACTTTTTTGAAACTATCAAAGGCTTCAGACTCCTTGGTAGTAAAGCGAGGATGGACAAGCATTCCCAGTTGCGATATCCAGTCTGTATATCCGTGATCATCATTTTCTTCGACGTCGACGGCCATCTTGACGAGTTCGATTTCCTCCGTAGATCCTTTGGAGAAGGTTATGTCCCTCCAAGTATGTTCAATACCCAACTCTTGTGCAATGTCTTTCGCACGCAGTTCATAGTCCTCAAAGCCTGCCAAACAATCATGTCTAAATCAGTAGCGTTCCGTTGTGTTCAATAATCGATTCCTCTTCATTGCGGGACAATAGGCATGTAAATCCGTCACATAGTTGCGGTGAGAAATTTAAACACAGAAGAAGAAGAGAGGGACCAAAGTTCTCAAGGTTCATAATTGTGCCTCGTGAAAAAAGTGACATATTCTATCATGATTATCACAGGAGATCTTCGGAGGAAGAGAAGGATCCACGGTAAAAAGCTTCAAGACGTGGATTTGAGGAGTACGGACTACTTTCTTCTACACAAGTGGATAATCATCAAGGTTCAGCACATTTTTATCTGTGCCCTAATTAATTCGCCGGTCCATCTCAAGGCCTGCTCTGGTGCCAATATGGTTCCACAAAATATCACAACCCAAATCACGGAATAGCTCCAATCAAGAAAATATCGGTTAATTTCAGTTAAAAGAAAATGAACCAGGTATCGTAAGTGATGAACAGAATGTAAAATTCTGTATTGACCCCTCCAACTCGCTAGGCTAAGAATCGTGGAAGAGCACTTCTGTACTTTCTTTCCAGCATGAAAATAGGTATGCAGCAACTGGCACGGGGAAACCGGCAATCCTCCCTTTTGGTGTATAATAAGTTAACCCAAACCCCACGTCAGATGCATGAGGGGTTAAAAGTGTGATCACTTTCGTGATCCAGGATCACAAGATAACAAAGTCATTGTTCGTTACGGAGCATAAAATTTGTGCTTTTTGACCGGGACATGTCGATACAAATAGTACTTACGGTACTATATAGTCAACTATAGATATAGCACAAGGATCGCAGATCCCTGAAAATATTTTACTTGGATGCAAACCATGGATTCGTGAGATAATGCGGCAAACTTTAGTGGTGCAGTAGAAGCTACAGCTTACTCTGTTGGAAACTATTAAAATCCAGTTGGTGAAACAAGTATTTAAACAATCGGGAGAAACAGTTCAAATGGTTAAAACAAGTAAGAACTTAAACCTATTCACTTAAAGACACGGATAGATAAAAACAGCACTCAGTAGTATACGTCTGTCATGGACTGAAGACAATAGACCCGTCGCTCTGGCCGAGCGACACTGGATAGGGAAGAAGAAGAGGTAAGATGGGATGAAGAGAAAAGCCTACTTTTGGCTCATAAAATTAAATTGGAGTAAGATAAGCATAAAAATTGGGGGAAAATGAAGGACGTCAACGAATGAGAAGACATAATTTACGATACCGTTGAAAGCTACGGTGGTTAGGTCAAGTTGTGGAAAGTTTGTTATTCAAGCACCACCGGGAATCGAAGACAAAACAATTACACAGCAACATGAACTGTACGTCTAAATTCAAACAAAAGAGGTGATAAAGATAATGCTTGTTGTAATACCTGAATGACAAACAATGAGAATATTTGCCCCTCCAATATCCTGCAGCCTTTTTTGGGCTTCCACAGCATGCTCCAAGCACAAAACTCGGGGTCTACCTACACCACCACGAGCTCTTTGCTTAACAGCGGCTATGGGAGCTTGAGAAACCTTCTCAGGTCCTAATCCCTCTGAACCGGCTTTACCTACATTTTGATCAGTTGGACAACTCTCCCTGCCTTGGCTGGAGCAAGTTCGTGGATTGAACTCTTCGGTGTCTCTACTGATTGAGGCGACAAAATCAAAAGAGGGCGGAAGCCCTGAATAATAGGAGACCTGATCGCCAATTAGATGTTTGGAAACATCGTGAATTCGACAATCCATTTTGTCCTCAAATGCTTTTTCCTCAAGTCTGCCATAAAGAACACCCTCAAAAGTTGGGTGACAGGCACTGTAGGAAATTTTGTTGCGAGAACAGTTCATTCCAGGTGAAAGCATACTCCTCGAAGTCAGCGACGCTGCATCCTTGATGGGGCCGATCTCCTCACGGCCTACAGGTTCGAGATGACATGCTCCGAGATTCTTGGGTTTGATGCGTGAGTTAGATGTTTCAGCCTCACATTTAACAGCTCCAGAGATAACATCATTGCTGCAACTGGGTTCGGGTTGCCAAGAAAATTCTGTAGGACAATCCAAATTGATCAAAGCGAGCTCATCATCCTGACTTTCCACAGTAAGGGCTTGGGAGTTGATGCGACGGTAAAACTCTTGCATGTCATCCACTTTCTCATCGTCCAGAGCATCAGAAGGGTCCTCAAAGGAGTCCGAACAAGGAGAGCACCCATCTGAAATTGCCTTCTTCCCGCACTCCCCACTATCCTTCTCGTTCAAGATACGCTCTAGAGTTGGAAGGTCCACAAGTCGATCTTCTTCGACAAATGCAAAACCACCTGATGTGAATACAGAATCCAGGTTTTTCGCACCCTCCAATACGCTTTGAAATACGGAAGGTGAGCTCGTGGAGATGTGGGAAATAACTTTCATTTCCGCAGTAGTCGGATTAAAAGTTTGCCAAGAGACATCTGCCGATAGACCAATGACGTCATTGATCAAATGACCCACCACACTATCAGGTCTAACAAGGACTTGAATGCCCTTATCCGCTTCCCAGTCTTCAAGTTTTTCCTCCACAAAATCTTCGCCTTCCACATCAGATGCGTCCTCGTCGTACGTTGAGACAAGAAGTTGCAAAGATGACAACAAATTACTACCCTTCACTTCGGGTTGAGTTGCAGTCTCCAAGGAGTGAACTTCACTACCGGCACCCCTCGACACATTCTCCTTGGCGTTTTGAGCTTCGGGAACTTCGATTGGAGAAGTCTCAGAACCAGCTCTTCCATTACCATTGTTCTCAAGCTTGCCTGTTTCGCTCTCCAAAGCGGGTCTTCCTTCCAACGGCTGAGCGTCTTCCAGCTCAGACGCATGTAAAGAAGATGTATTGCCGGGAGTTTTGTTTTTCGCAGATAGAACATCGTCAGACAGGGAGGCTTCAAAATTGCACACGCTGGACTGAGTCGGGAGGATTTCGTATTTCAATGCAACCGCGTGTTCTGCTTCTGCTGGAGGAGTCCCAATTCCAGTCATTTGGCCATAAACACCAGTTGTATCCACAGGTTCACTCCTTACGTCAGCGCGTTCTGCTTGCTCTTGGCTTACAAGGACGCCATTATTCAGGTCCATGCTCGCACGAGTGTCCACCGCCAATCCTAAAGACTCTGGTCTATCACAACCTGCTTCACTTTTGCCATTGCTAAGGCCAACTGCTGGGCGAACTGGTTTTACGGGCAACGCCTTAAAAGTCGTCAACGCTGTCAACGTAGGCTCTACAACAGCCATCGTTGCATAACACAGAATACCACAGGCAGCACATGGTAGTATGCCCCAGTCAATTGCCAAAGGGGATGGTACGACAGCACTGTTTCTGCAATACGGTGAAGCTTTTGTCTCCAAACCTGAAGTGGTGGAGCCTGGAAACTCTGAGGACGCGCATGGATCAGCAACCTTGAGGAATGCATCATTCGTTTCAGCTTCAGCTATTAACAAATTCTCCGAGGGAGACATGCCAAAACTTGAGTCAGCAAGTTTGACCGATGATATCTGATTTGGACAAGCCACATCTTCTGTTTGCACCACTGAGCATACTGCTACCTCTAAATTTGTACAATCTCCGACCTGCTCTAAACAACCCGAGGCCGGTAGAGAATTATCAGCAGGCCGCAACCTCTGCTCCGCATCTTCAAGAGATGGCATTTTTGCTGCTGCATGACTCACTGCATCCTTTGCCAGTAGACAACAAGGAACACCCTTGTCGAGTAGAACACCGAGTAACCGGTTGTTGTGAATTACGTCATTCACAAACATGTTCTTCACCATCTCCTCACCTGGAGACTTCTTTCTCACCTTCAACCGTGAGCTACGAGGTTCTGAGGGAGAGCTTGCAGGCATTCTGGAATGTGGGTTTGAGAGACAAGCGATAATAATGAGAAGCAATGCACTCAATCATCAAATTAAAAGACAGGAAAGGGCCTATCCTTCAAGATCCTACACTGGATAATAACCCCATGACGTTTCCACTAGCAAACCACTTCTTTCAAAACGTGTCACAACAGTCCGAAGTGTCGAAAGTTTGTGTCAAATTCGTTGCCTCGAACAGAATGAAGCAGCAAGATTTTCTCAAAAGTAACAGGTAATTGAAGTGTTCGAAATCAGGCACGCTATCTGTAGACTGAATTCAGTAGGATCAATTGCCGAGCAGCAATTTCGTAACTGACCTCGGTGGAAGAGACATTGTGAGTAGGTATAACAGCTGCTGATGTGAAAGCATAGGAAGGTAGTTCATTGCCGCCCTCCGTGCCGCTGCGTCTTTAGCGACATCCAGCCAACCAGGAGTAGCAAAGTTTGCAGCTTCTCCGCAATTAAACCCTGAAATCAAACATCAATTGGAGTAAAATTATTTGAAACGTCAAGTTCAATTAAAAGGGCAGAGGCCTGCTTCACATTGTTTATTTAGTAGGTTGAGCTGCCAAATTCATCGTCATCACCTACCTTGAGCTGGAAGGATATCACTTTCAATCGTTGGAAGGCAGAAATCATGTAAGTATTATTGAAAATCTTGAGTATCCATTCCCTGACTATATGCTGCGGAATTTTCATAAATCGGTATTGTCGATCTTATATAAAGAGCTCCTAGAGCCTTACTAAAAGCTGTGAAGTATGAAATTGTGTTTCTATCCAGTTAGGAATTAAGAGATCCATAATGAAATATGACAAAGGGAAGTCTAAAAATAATCAGAATCTAGTGAAGGGATATGATATATTAGAAGTACATGCCACTAAATACCAAAACTTTCAAGCTTTTCACCCGAACGTATAAACATCTGCAGATTCAGCTGAAATTTTTCTAAGATACTAATGCTAAAGATTAGCAACCAATTTCGAAACATTGATCGTTGTACCTACAGACATATAAATCACAACATGGGGTCATTATCTTGAGAATATTGATAAAATTGCAGAATATGAAAGTGCATCAGAAGAAGACAAACTTGTAAAACTGAGACCGAGTCAGACAGCAGGAAGTTAGCCGGCTGGAAGGTGCTATTAATAACGGGTGGAAAACTGGAGTGGAATTTAGGATAAGGGATGAGGAAAGAGATAGAGGAAACTATGAGAAAGAAGATGCAGAACATTGTGGACAAACAATTTGGTCCCTAAAAAGTAGATTTTGATATTACAGGAATTAGATAGAATCCTGAAGAGCTAGATGAGAGACTTGTTCTTCGTTGAGATTGTATTGCTGAAGACCTGGTGGGAAGCTAGCTAGGTTGGTTCCTAGCTTGTAAGGGTGATTACTCAGCTTGTAAGGGTGATACTTCAACTATTTGCATGTACATGCGCATGGACTCCATATACATGTAATGCAATGATGAAGATTAGCCAGGCTTGAAGCACACTTGCCTCAAGTCGCAGATGTACAGGCAAAACAGCCAAGGCTCCATGCCCATGTAGTCTGAATTGCCTGGACATTCATTACAGGTGTTCTTGAAACCAGCGAGTAAGGTATCTATATACTTGGAAAACGATTCAGATGACTCATCCACCGCCTTACTCAATTTTCCTCTCAAATCTAATGAAGATCTTGGATGAAATGGTGCAAAGCCCGTTGCAAGGATCAAAGCAGGGAGCTTACACTCCATTTCGCGCACCTGTTGACGTGAGAGTGCTGAGATAAGGAGAATTGACGATTTAGTGAGTTGGATCCTAAGACAAAGAGGCTCTTACACACATCTGTTCACGTGGTTGATTGATCAAACCAGTAATATGAAAAGCGAATGTCTCGACTGCTTAATACTTTTTTACTTGTTTGGCATTGTCACCTCACCCCGCGTGAAACAAACATGAAGAGATGTCCGAAAAATTCTGGCATGATTCAAAACAGGAAGAGGTGAGAAATAGAAAAATCTGTGCTAGCGAAGTACGACTGTTGAGGTATACTGATCAGTGTCAAGAAAATCCTTCTTGGTTAGAAGTTTAGTAGCAGAGGTTGTGTTGGGCCTGCTAGGGAAAAAATCCAAACAACTGACCAGATCAATCTAAAGTGCTGTAGCTTGGGGTTCAAACCTTGATCGAGTGGGAAACCCCCCGATCGCGAATTCGAACCCCTCAGCTAAACATATTAGTGTAAAACGCTGTAAAGTTCCCGCGATTACTAAAACTTCTTTCTTCTTGATTCACACTGATGACGCAGAGACGGTTAGTAAAGCTTGCACACTCGTGGCAAAAAATGATTATTCACGCGGTTCTACTTATATTAAAAATATGTGATCCGGATTTAACCTCACTCCAGTGAGAAAGAGTACTGATTAATATCAAGATGCTCAGACCTTTTATGATGACTAAGGCTAGTGGGATCCATCCTTGATAACTTACAAGTTTTCTTCTCCATTATGGTCACACTGGATACAATGTCTTTCATTCATCGAGATGTTGCGTAATCATAACGGGGTTAAGAACATACTTATGCTGGATTGGCTTGACACACTTGACAAGAGGAATGATTAGAATCATTTGCCAAGTCAAGAGTAGCCTGAACAGTTCCGATTTTCCTGTCCGTATTGCAATCTGAGACCAGAATAAAGCTAGCGCACAACAAAATCTCTCCCTGCCCGAACATGAAACATGTAGACCCAACTTTTGAATCAAAATTCAAACTAATCAGTTACAGATCATTATAGGAAATTACAATTTGTAATCTACCCAGAGGGATCTGGGTAGACTACATGTACTTAACTAACAGCAAATACTAAGCGGTTTCACGGGCATGGTAATATGGAGATATAACTTGATAATTGACTTTTGCTATGGAACGAACTACGTGTAGCCGTCCCGTCCGACAAAACAGATATCAAATTCACGAACCAAGAGATACACACGTGCCTGAAGTATAAGGATTTACAAAAACAAATGTCCATTTTCACGACGGTTGCTCAGGAAGACAAACATTTATCTTGTTGTGAGGGTCCTAAAGGTATACCAAGATGACACAAAGCACCACATGTGCTATAAAGCAAACTACTTCGACTCATCCATGTATTTACTACAACAGTATTTGCTCTCAAATTGAATCATCAACAAAATATTCGTTTTCAGCAAACCCCATATTTCAAAAGATGACAGGATGTAGAAGAATCGACCGGATATGAACTGACGGGTTATCGGTGCATTCTTGTTCAAGAAAATACACATGTCGGAAATGCAGGGGCAGAAACCCAAGTTCCTTGTAGGACTTTGTTGTGTAATTGTTTACGCGTTCCACACAAACCATATTATATCGAGTTAGAAAACGCGGGAACGTTACCAGAACAGTTTCAGTCCTTAGGCAACTTTCCAAGTGCGTTTCGAATATCAGAATTTCCAACGCCAGAGGCTGCAATCGAGGATCAATCTCATGATGAGGGGAGTGACGGACTTCTTCCGAACAGGCGAATCGGACCTTAGGAAATGCTCAGGCCCGTCGAATTCAGTACCTCATTAAAAATGTGCTATAGTAGGCTAAGGAATCAAAATCTGCCTTTCTAAAGAGTCATCTGGAAAATAACACATTTAACTCATACGAAAGCAGCTTATCACACGTCGGACAGTCGAATATACCCTTGAGCTTTTGAACTCGGAGCTTTTGAGCTTTTGAGCTTTACAAGAGGGTCGAATGTACGGAAATCCAGGGACCGAAGGGTCGTAGGACTATGAAGGAATTGAAAGGAGTGGAAGTTCATACAGGGACACAAGCACGAATGGTACACACCGTGGCTGAATCCCAAGTGATATGCTCGAGGAAAAGTGACGACGTACTCGCCAGCGTTCTGCACAAGCCTGCAGAACACAAAGAACAAACAAATCACGACGTCACAAAACTTTTGTCGCAATGTGAGAATAGAGACAAATAGCAGACTTCATAAAATAAATAGAGTATGAAGCCTAATGGGTAGAGCATAAGCGTTGCTAGATGGAATTGCGACCGAATGATTAATCTCCAGAAAAAACACGGGACGACTCATCTCATACGCCACCTTACGAACGAGTTTAAAAGCAGGACATAGAATAGAATGGGACCTGCAGCAAGGGACACCGGCAGCTACGAGCACTTCGGGTGACATTACTGTTGTCTTCTCACCCAGCAAAGAGAACGCAGCTGAAAAATCCCCAGATGGCGACAGCAGATACAATGTTGTGAGTTCACGTAACTACAAATTCTACACAATCCTGAGCATTATATCAACACTAACAGCACGACGCAGGTGAAACAAGTGCTTCCAAAAGTGTAAACGTTAAGTGCGCTCTAACAACATGACAAACACTAGCAAATGTGGACCTCATTCTTACCAGATTACATGCTAGTAAAGAATGGAACGAAATGTGTGGATAATTAGTTGTAGGAGTAGCACTCCTACAAATCAGCAGCATGCGTAACTTACATGCGGTACACCCTGTCTCATGAAGGTGGAGACAGCTGAGTGCAAACTAGTCAACCGGTTCCTTGATAAAACTTGGTGGAGTTCACTAGGAAAATCAGGCAAACTATCAACTACTGAGTAAAGAACAAGACTATCCACTTCTTGTTGAGTGATAGTGAACGAAACAAAGTTATTGAGACAAGTTCTACTTCAGTTGGGAAGATTTCAAACGTGTTGAAAACTGCATATAGTCAAAAGTATGAAGTGATCAAGAAGGAAAAGATGCTTCAAGATACAGTAAAGAAACTTTTGAGTATTCTGGATCCCCATAATTTCAGACAAGATACGAACAGAACGAAACTGGGTGAGCAAGATTATCAATCAATCTAGCGCACAAGTCACTACTGAAGTAGCAAAAGTTGCTCCTGAAGCCGGGAGAAAGACTGAAAATGGAGATTCCTACTCCCGTTTTGGAAGTATAGCACAGTACGAAGACACCTCCAACCCACGGTATCAAAAACTGTGTAATGGCTTCAACACAAGCCAGAAGCTCTTCCAGAAGTGGTCTAGTGCAGAAGTGAATTTAGACTCTCGATCTCCACAACGAACAAGAGACGCAACGTAGGCCTAGACCAAATTCGCAGGCGATATAGCTTTTACTTCATGCATGCATACTGCGTTGTGAGTCTCTGGACACGTAAACCAACGGACGCATACTCAAGGCATAGACAACAATATATAACGAACAACAGAGGATTACTGCGCAACGAATAAAACCAAAGCACGAACAGAGTGCGGTAAACGGTAGTAATGAACAAGATCGACATTCTAGTGAAAATAACAAGCATGACAAGCATTAGCAATACAGCCAAAAAGGAACTTATATCTTTACGGCAAGATACGCTTGTCGGGTGAGTAGATCCTGTTGGAAGTACTGCAGCCACTTCTGCAACACAAACACCGGAACATCCTTGAAAACAGTAGCAGCCTGAAACATTGTCAAACCAGAAGGCTTGAAGTGATGATAAAGAGGTGACAGTAGATATGATACCTCGTGCATTGAGCTGTCCACCGTAGCCATGCACCCGAACGGCTTCTTCGAGAGCTGGGGCTGCGTCCCCTGGCACGGCATACCAGGTTTTCGAAGCGCCAGTGTGCAGATAATTCAAGCTGTGAAGCTCATGATCTTCGACGTGCCAAGCAAACCAGCTGAAGAGCATTCCTATGTAAACCATAGGAGACGTTACACCTGGTACCTCATCGGGCATGTAGCGTAACAAAGACCCATGACTACGAGCTACATTTCGCATATTCCACGCGCTATTGGCTAATTTTCCACCAGCACTACCTCCGCTATCACCAGCACCTTCAGCAGACCCGGCTGCAAGCCGGATTGAGTCAAAGCCATCCAATTCCTCGTCAGCTCCAGGAGACTCCTCGATTGGAAGACTTTCCTCGCCTCTGAAACCCATACCGAAGCCTTGATCAGGTTCATCAAGGCCTCTTTTCCTTTTCTTCCCACGAAGAGACAAACTGGAATCGAGAGGCTCGGCAAATGCAGAACCCGGAATGTCATTTGCGTATTCTACCGGGAAGCTGTGCTTATCCGCAGCAGCTTTCCAAAACAGAGTTTCAACGGAAAGTGGAGAGACATCTTTACATGTACCTAAGCGCTGACGAGAAAACTGTTTAGCTTTCTGCTCAAACTGTTCTAAGGTGTACTTCTCTCCACTCTCCCACACGAGCTTGTGAGTCTGAGAATGAGCTACTCCTCGGGTCTTCTTCGGGTTCCAGCCCACCTGCTGTCTGCGAGTGTCAAATTTCGCTTTCCCCGACGAGTCAGTGGCAGAGACGTCCAAAGAGGAACTTTTCTGCTTGACCAATTGCGGTCCTGCCATGAGACCTCCCATACTCCTAGACATGGAAGGACACGGACCGTGCATTTTACTGCTAGGCAGGGTGTCTCGCGACATAGCAAGAGAACGGTTGAGGTGAAACGCGACAGTTTTCTTTGAGGCCTTGTTGTAAGGAGGGATAATCTTGCACACACCATACATCCTCGCTTCCTCTTCAATCTTGAGAATGTACGCCATCGGATCCAAAAACTCTGCCTCTGTGGGGCGGAACTCGGGAGCCAGAGGCAGCGTCTTCAACCAAGGAGCTATATCCATTTCCCCCATTGTACGCCGCTCCTCCTCCTGCTCCGAGTAGCACACTCCTCAAACTCCAAAACTCCACTCACATTAACTACTACCTTCTCCTCTTCTTCCTCCTCCTGCCAATAACTCCATTTCGCCTAGTGCTTCGTCCCCTCTCTCTCACACTCGACCCTTCTGCACTCGCACTCCCTGCATCCCCTTCCCCTGCCATTCCTCCTCCATTCCCCCTCCCAACGTGAATATTTCGACTAAATCACGCTCGTCCCGACTGTCTGTCAATCGCTTTCCGCCTGTTGACTCCTGCTGCGCTTCTGCCCTGTACCCGATCTCTATTCTTCTCTGATCTGTCCCCTGTTTCTTTCCTTCATTACACTTCCGTCCTTCCTTCCAGCGCCCACGCAAGAGAGGAGAAATAAATTCCAACTCCTCGCCGAGAGAAAACAAATAGCAGAGAACTGCGGAGAGAAAAAAACAAAAACCGAGAGAGAGCTTCCTCCCCTCTTCCCTCCCCCTCGGCTCCTACTGCTAAACACCTCGACGACGAACCGAACTGAGGATCACCACTTGCGCTCGCTCTTCCTCATCAGGCTCCCCCCCTCTCCCTCTCTCTCTCTCTATCTCTCTCCCCCCGACGTGCAGTGCATATCTCTCCTCTCCGCTCGTCTCTCGTTTTCCTCTGAAAAGCCGAGCGAGTGCGAGCGAGATGTCAGACACGGACCCGACGCTCTGCCCAACCCTAGCACCGAGCCCTACATGCCGAACCGCGCGCTATTATCGACTCGTCTGCTCTCGTTCACCAATCACTCTCGTCTCAATGTATGGGGCTCGTCCTGCCTTTCGGCTCCAGCCTCCCCCCTGCGCTTCTCCGACTTCCGAAAAATCCTCCCATATCATCAGAATCAAATATTCTCGAAAGGTTTCTTACCGTCAGTGGCTCTTTTCGCTCTGTCGATCGCATTCCAAGGCGAGCATTAGTTGCGTTGTCCAGACGAGCGGTATCGAATTTGGTTTTTTCTTCCCAATATACATGCTAAACTACCTGTATTTCCATGTGTGACTTACCTTCTTTTATTCTATCTCCAGTTTCGTGTCCCTCCAATCTCCCTCCTTTGTTTGTTTTCCGCCTTCTCTCTGCATGCCTGCCTGCCTGCCGGTCCTACTCAGCGAGAGCTCCGCGTCTCTCTCACTCTCTCCCCCCATGTCTCTCTCTCATATCCCTCTTCAGCTGTCGGTCATCCCATATCCCGAAAACAGGACCATGAGTCATCTTGTCTCAACATATGAAGAGTAAGTCCCTCGAATATTTCCTTTCATCTATAATAGAATAAGCCATCTTTTTTCTTTTCTTTTCTACTTGCTTTTAACCTCTACTCAAACGTTAGGTGCATGAAGAAAATACAACTTTACATACCCCATGATAACAAACCATTTTCATAAAATGAGCAATTGAGATTACACACACCCAGGACTAGTTGTGTTGACGATGTGACACTTCTTTGCCCTAAAGGACCAAAATACGAGCAATTGGAGTTCTCAAGAGTAATCAAGACTTCAATTTTTCCGTCGATGTTCTCAATCGATAGTACACATATACCAGGAATGCCACTTACCAACTTAGACGTTGTCAAGGCACGGATCTTGCAGATGAACGGGTCGACGATTTGAACCACTTCGAACCACTTTCAAACCTCACGAGGGGAGGGTGGGCTCCCCAAGTAGAGTATTATTTCCTTGTGTGCTTTAGGTAACTCGTCGTCGAGGACGGGGTAGAGATGGTAGCGGATATGCATGGCCGAACGCACGGTCGTGATACACTTTGGGAATGGCGAACAAAACTTGGAAACACATATGGAGGCTGCGGAGACGACAATGGGAGTGGTCTTGGAGATAGAGAGAAGTCATCGCCCTCCGCAAGGAGAAAGGACGACGGGCCACAAATGCGAGGAAAAGAAGGCGTCATAGAAAGACGAGCGAAAAGTTGACAAGACAGCAGATAAGTCTTGCAAAAGCTTGATGCCGAGCGGGCATCCGGAAAGTGCAATGCTTGGAAGGAAACCACCGGTGCAGGATACTGCAGGATGTTTGGTGCATCGAAGATGATGCGGTAGGACAGTTTTCGCCGAGCTCCGCAGCAACCAACCAACCAACCATCGCTCGCTCGCATGCGATCGAATGCACCCTCGCGGAGGTTGACTTTAGCCTCGTGCAAGGGATTCGTACGAGAAGGAGCTGCTGCTGCTGGCCCCGTCCTTCCCAAGCCTACCATCGCAGAGAGAGAGAGAGAGCGAGCGAGAGCAAACGATTCAAATGTTCAAACGACCTCCGTTGGCTGCAAATATTCTCAATCGCCGAGGCCCAAGAGCGAAGGTGGCTCATTCGCGACCGGCCAGAAAAGAAATCATAAAATAAGGAGTTGGCTTTCGCAAAGGGCGAGGAAAGGCGCATGCGTTCGGGATCTGAAAGGCGAAAATGACCCCGGGACCGCAGTCTTGCTTTCTTTCGGGAGCGGGCGAGAGGGCGGAGGGCGCCATGTGCAGTCATTAATAAGGGAAAGAGAAAGACGCAAGATTTCGCAATCTTGAACTCCAGAGCCCAAGGGCCTCTCGCGATGTGCGGGCGTCCGAAGCGCCTACAGCGATAGCTGTCTCCGACGCTCCCTCCGGCCCAAGACTCATGAAAATCACTCCCTCCCTCGCCCCCCGCGCCTCGTCAGCCTACACCGGGGCCCGCCAGCGGTAACAAGGTCCATGTCATAGTTATCATATTTCTCTGTCCCTCCCTTCCTCCCTTCATTCATCCATCCATCCATCCATCCTACCACAACTACGCCATGCTACTGCGTCAGCTCTATTCCTGTTCTTCTTTAACTCTGGCCCGCTGCCGTATAGACGCAGTCTCTCTCTCGCACACGTGCAGAGGAGCTCCACACCCCACTGAAACTCGAGGAGAGGTCAGCCTGATCGAGACGAATCGGCACTGCGAGGGGAGATGAGTGGAGAACACGTGTCCCTAGTGAAAGGAATCTGGGAAATGGACGAATGACGATCTCGACTCGGGCTTGACGTGGAATATTTTTGTTTGACGTGGTAACCCCGGCACACGTGTTTTGTACAGTGGCTCGCTACCTCGCTCGCTCGGTGGCCTGCTCTCTCTCTCTCTCACTCCGGAACGATGAGGAGGATGGATGGTCCGGTCCGATGGTGCGTCGACCTGCCCAAAACCTGCCACTGTGGTCATGGTGGCGGGCCGGGCCGGTCCGGTCTTCTCTGCGGCCGTTTGTCGTTCGTTCGTCCAGCGGACACAAGGCAACGAGGTGCACACGTGCACTATCCGTGCGAATTGCTCAGCAGCTCGACAAATGGGCGTCGAGATAATGCTCGCGACCTCGGGGTCGAGAGCGATGGTTGGCCGATCGATGGATGCTGCCGCTCATGCCCGGTCCATGAATGTCGCCCTCCAGCGCTGCCTGCCAGTCTCGGCCCGAACACGAGGGGGAAGCGGATGTTCAAGGCTCCCCCTCTCTTTCTGCAGTTTAGCGCCGTGGGCCAAGCCTGGGGTCTGCTCGGGGGCGAGAGCGAGTGAGGGGAATGATGGCGATGGCGATGGCTACTGGCTCCGTGCTTGGTTGCCGCGTGCGATGTCGGGTGGCGGTGGGATGCAGAGCCAGCTTGTATGATGTGCTCCAGGTCCCGAAGAATGCGACGCCAGTACAAATAAAGACGGCGTACCGCAAACTGGCCCTTCAGCATCATCCCGACGTCAGTTCGCGCTCTGATTCGCAGGAGAAGTTCATCGAGCTGAGCAAGGCTTACGAGGTGATTGTCCGCAGAGTGCCGAAGTGATTTCCTGGAGGGCTGAGATGGACTGCACTCTTAGTTCTCTGGATTCTCTGGATTCTTCTGTGACGCTGAGAGCCTTTCTTTTCCACAGATTGCCTGGACTTTGCTTCCCGACCAGTTTGCCGGATTGATTCTTTTCCAGCTGATGTATCGTTCTCTGGACGATACGGACGCTCGGTCGCCGATATCTTTCGCTGAATGTTTGCCGCCCTAAGACGGCACAGTTGTCACAGGAAGACATTGGAATTGGGAAGGCGGAAGTGATCGAGATCGCCCTGTTGCCACACGTTAAAGACAGTTTTTTGATCGAGAAATTGTCTTTAGTTTGAGGCAATGTGGTCGTCCTCGGTTTCGATATTGGACTGTGAACGGGCCAAGGAATTGGATAGTCTATAATATTTATCTTTTCTCTGTAGTCTGGAGTGCAAGTATTTTCCAAAAGGCTTTCCAAGGAATAATAAGTTGAACAGCGTGGGAATTCCACAGATTCTGATCGACGATTTGACTCGCGCCACGTACGATACGCATGGCTTAGAAAGTGTAAGCGATCGAGCCGGCAACGGCGCTGCCTGGGACGTCTGGAACACCTGGGACGAATTCAAGCCATTTAAGCGCACGTATGTCTTAAAGATTCCATGTCTTCACGGCGTAAGCTTAGAGCACTTTCTTGCCCGTGCTGGAGTTTTCTCCTTCTCTATTTTTCAGATATGTTGGGGAGCATTGTCTTCGGTTTTATCCGCTCTCTTGTTGGCAGTCGACGCAAATTGTTTTGCGCATTTTCTGCTCACGTTGTTGTGAATTTCAACCAACAGAAGTAGAAAAGGAGATGCGCGTGCTTCTGCTGCTGCGAGGACGACGGCAGACGGCTCTGCGCTCGAAGACAAGTTCAGTACAGGGTCTACAAAAATTGCCGAAGCACAACTTGGCGACGTTGTGGAATACTATCTTTCAGATGCTGCCAAAGCTCAACACCAAGACGGCCGACTCAAAGGTGCTCGAATTATTTTGTTGCGGTTATTCGGAAAAGTTTGAAAAGTTTGCATATCTTGATTTTTTCAACTTCTTTCTTTGTGTTCCAGCTGACGAATTCAATTTACAGTCTCTTACCCACGCTGAGCTAGTCTTCGGTGAAATGCTCAGTGGCTGCCAAACAGACAGGAGTGTTGTAAGACATCCACATTTGAAAAGGAGCCGATTTTACACCTGTGTCATAAGTCGCCCCTGATAATTAGGAGGTTAGGTTTCAGATTTTCTTGAAACGAATCTCACTTTTGCAATGGATTACAAGCAGGTGTTGGACTCGTGGTCAGTAGAAACATAGGTGAGAGCTTTTCTCGCTTCCTTCCTGAGACTCAATTCTCGGGTATCTGCTTTAGATTCGCCAACGTACGCACATTTATCATGCTGTTCAGTTTTCTGATTCACAGTCCTCACGCGCTTGAATTTTGCCGCTGTAAGTTGAACGATTGCTTCTGCAAGCTTTTTCATTGTTGACTTGTTGTGATATTTCTGTCAGATAGAGGAGACCGGCACAAGCTACCGTTGGAGGTCAGGTTTTCTTCCTACTGCTACAACCGAGAGCGATGACGTTAGCACTGAACTTTTCAGGCATAGTGTAATGGCTGGAAGATTGTGCACCCGTCCTTGAGATAGTTCTATCTTGGGGTCTATGATTTCGGCAGGTCAGGCGTCTGTGTTTCCTCGGGATGTGTGCACACTGAAGTATGCCTTGTACCTTTTCGGCTTTTGAGTCAATGTCATGGTGACCTTTCTCCACATTTCCTTGACCATAGCCCAGGATGAGGGGTTCAAGTCCATTACAGGTGTGAAACCTTGCATGTTTCTCTTGTGCAGTGTGTGGACTTAGTGGAACTTGAACCATTGTATAAAGAAGTCGATTGCGAAGAATGGCGAGCAGATCCAATGGAGGGTCCGGCCTTTGCGTCGATGCCTACTCTTCGAATTCTGAGATCGGTAAATACCTTAAAACTGAGGTACTTCATTCTATTTTACACATCACGATGTGAAGTTCTAACCCATGGTCTCCCCTGCATATAGGACTATGAACGTACACCCGATTTCTGGAGGATACACGATGAACTATCCCCCGATTGTGGAAGTCCGGAATATGCGGAGGAAGTGATCTTGTGAAGTGAGAGATTTCTGTATTCAGTCTGGTGAAGAACGGGGCATTCACGTTCAGAGTGGCTGAGCAGACGAGCTCTTCCTGTTCCAGTCTTGCCAGATTGTCCGTTCGGGCCAGAAAGAGTGCTTTGCTAAAAAGCTCAGGAGGAGAAGACTTTGAGATTCCAAGTACTTCAGACTCTGTGCAATGACTGGATTGTAGCTTCAGAAAGTGGGCACTGTCCCTCCCTACCGGCAGTAATGGTTGTCGTTACCGGCTGCGAAAACGTCTGGGGCTGTGGGTGGGAATTTTGGTGGTCGGTTTCTCGTACTCGGGACGTAGTGAATGGTCGAGGTAGGACAGCGGGGCCTTCGATTGTCCACTGTAGTCTGTAGGGAATGTTTCAAGCTGTACAGCTTCGCAGCTGGCATTGTGGAACCAATTCGTTTATTGCCACGCGGGTACGATGGAATTTGTGAAGAAAATGCCGTACGTGCAATTCCTTTCAGTTTGCAATACTGTGCCGGATATATCAGCACGAGCGAAGGACTGTGAGCTCCGTAAAGACTCGGCTTTTGCGAGTTGTAGATTAGATGGGGACTGATTGACTGAAATCTGTTGTTGGAATCATGACGGGAGGGCCGCCGACCGGAATCAAGATGCAGTTATTCAAAGAGTCCTTGTAAAGCTGTCACCGTCCTTTATGTGCATGAAAAATTGTCTACATACGTACTCTGTACCCGCGAGCAAGCTCCTGCGAGTAACTCCCCACTTTGAGATGGCCGATGCACTAAAGGTGTTCTTTTAAGCACAAGGAACGTGCTGGCTGGCTGTTGACTAAATCGTAAATCGTGGACGAGAAGTTCGTTTGGCTGCTCCACGTAGTCTCTGTAGTGACCGGTGTACTAAAGAATCTCCACCAAAAGTCTCCCTCACGACGGCCCACTTCGCGATTGAAGCTAACGCGGCCAGCTCATATTCGGAGTTGGGAATTGAAAGTGGCAGTATCTTATCCAAATCTCTAAGGTTCGGGGATCCGGGCACTACACACTCGTCTTGGGTTTATGGTTTGAAGCGGATCAACGGGGATGAGAATGCCGAAATTAGATGGAAAACAATCCAATCCGAAATCTCACAACGTTGACCGGTGTGATGAGTAGCGAAAGACCCTGCCGTGTAGCTGAACACCTTGATTCAGGAGCTGGCAGCTTCCGAGGCTCTTGTTGCGTTGTAGGGATCGACTCTGCCTCCTCGCTCGGTGCGTGTTGTACTCTTGAAGAAATGGACGGAGGGGATTCTCGCTCTTGTTATTGACATGGACGAGTCTTGACGAGTGCAGCAATTCTAGAGCTACCGCTTTGTGAAGCTCGAAAGAAAAATCGCTCTTTGAGCGTCCAGTCAATGGAGTGAAGCGGCAGGAAACATTTTTATAGAAAGACTCGGCAGAATCATACATCAGGTTCGAGCATGCCCCCTTCTAACTGCACCTCCCATGGAAGCTTGATCTATCTTGATCCTTAGCAAGTCTCAACGTTGAAACGTAAGATAACAAAGTAAACAACAGATAAACTTTCACAAGGCCTTTCCTGCGAATTCACCTGATCCGTGCAGACTGTCGCTAGCGGGGATTCGTCATTACAGGGCAGCCTGTGCTAGGGCTGATGTCCTAAAACAATGTCCAGCTATTTACATCTTCCTTGGTTCGTCGGCGGACTATCAGGGATTCCTGCTCGAATTCTGGAATTCAAAAGTTAGCATTAAGTCTACCCGCTGCAGTCCAAGCTAATCGGAAGCACTTAATGGGATCGATCTACAGATCCAGACATCTCAGTTCCCAGAATCCGTTAATTTGGCTCTGTATTGTAAGGGACAGAACAGCTCTTTATTGACAGCAATATGACGAAGGTCTCTGGCAATTTCGTGGAGAGGCTTCGAAGAGTCGTAGCTCTCATCACAATCTTCTTGGCCGCTATAATCTCCACCCAAGCCGCTTGTGGATTGGCAGTTCGGTAGTGACCTTATTCTCCACTCCGAACTCGAAGGCTGTGGCATCATGGCAAATATGGAATGGAACTAGCCTCTGCTCGGTTGAGATTAATCGACTTGTGGACGGCTCATGGCAGAGGCTGGCAAGCTCGTCGCTGTGAAGCGAGAGCTCGAGAACCAATGAAGTAGCGAGCAGTGTCGATGATAACCAGGGAGAACGATACCGATAGCTCCCGAGGGCTGCTCAGTTGGTGGAAAATCTTCTTGTCGGTTTCATCAGAAGCGCAGAAATGTACACCTCCTGCAACTCTCGGCCCCTGTCGACCTTGTCTCCGACGTGGTACTTCAATTTGATGTAGCCGAGGTTTTTCAGCATGGGCTCGTACGTGGCCAGTTGAGATCTGACGCAGAAGAAGTGATCCAACCAGAAGAGGCCTCCGGGTCGAAGAATCCTATCGATATCGTAAAGGATGAACTCCAGACTGACCGTGGGAATCCAGTTGCTCAGCACATGCATGGAGTGAACGATGTCCAGCGTGTTGTCGAAAAAGGGAAGCCGCTGAGTCACCGTCATGTACATGGGAATGACTCCCCGCAGTGCCACGAAATTGTTGAAAGGGCCGTTCAGATTGAGGGTGGTGGTGATGATGGTGACGCCGGCTTCTTTCATTCTCACGGCGAAGGTGCCCGTCCCTCCTCCCAGATCGAGCCCGATTCGGATGGTCCCATTTTTTACCTTCAGCACATCGTCGACCGAGAAGTCCAGCTCGCCTCCCGAGGCGACCCACCGAGTCTTCTCCCTGGCCTCCAGATCGAAGCAATCGAGGCAGTCCGCGAACTGCTTCTCCTTGACCCGGTTCCTCAAGCACTCAAAGCTCTTGCAAGTGTGCGCCGTCCAGATGACTCCGCCATCGCCGGGAGCCTTCCACAGCGAGTCCGGAAGAGGATAGGGTTCGGTGTAATTGATGGGAATGCGCGAGAAGCACCTCCGCCTCGGCAGAGGCTCGCAGCCTCCGACCAGAAGCTTCTGAGTCATGGCCTCATCGTCGGGGCACTCGTCCCCCACTCTGTACTTCATGTACTGATCCAGCTCCGCCTTCATCTTCGCGCAGCCGTGGCCCACGGGCGAAATTATGGTGTCCCTCATGAGAGTGCCGCTCCATCCCAATGGAAGTTTCCGGGGCTCCACATACCGCTCGAACTCTCGGTTCTGCACGCCTATGGACCACTCCAGGAACGGGTTGTCGATGGGGTCTCGGCCATACTGCGCTCCTCCTCCTTCTCCGCCACCGCACGAGGCCGGCCTGGCCATGAGCTCGTCAAAAATTGCTTGAGTGCGGTCCAGAATGAGTCGCTCGGTGCCCTGGTGCAGGCTCTTGAGCTCGGCCCTCAATTGGGCAATCTCCTTCTCGTAGCTCTGGATCACCTCGTTGCGGCTGCCGTTGCCAGCCAGCATCCTGCCCATCTTACTGCTCTCGAATACCTCGGGACCATTGTACCCACTGCTGTCCTGGTGATTGCAGCGGTTCGAAAACGCGTACAGGATTACGACGTTGGTGCCCAAAATTGCGAACAGTATCAGGAGGAGCATGTGCTGCGGAAACCTCCTCCCCTTGATCGCGTCATAATCTTTCTGATTATCAGTTCCCATTCCGCTCGCAGCTGTGCTCCCTTCTACGATTCGTTCTCTCGCTCGCTCGTCACTCCTCCACGGCTTCTATATCACAGAAACGGACATGTCGCCCTCGTCTCATGCCGGACATGGCGAGGACATCGTTCTGCTATCGTCGCGACGAAATGCGGAGATCGAATCCTGAGCAGGTTGTTCAATTGACACTGCGCGCAGTAGTGTGGTCTCTGCCTCCGGCTGCGGCCTTCGCACGGACAACGCCAAGACAAGGCCCTAAACCCCAGATGGAGAACAAGAAGGAGAAAGAACGGCCTCAAATTGAGCGCGGCAGAGCTGAAGAAGACAAGCTGTTCGATGCCTGCTCGAAATCTCCGAGCTCAACGAATACACCCGGAGCCCAGTCTTGCCATACACCAGCAGCAGAATGGCTCGTTGGGTGGTTCAGGTGGCCCGAGTGTCATCCATTTAAGTGAATATATTTGAGCTCCTTCGAATCGGGCGGATGAATGTGAAGGGCCGCATTCTTGCCCGATGATCTTGTCGCGTGGGGGTTACGAAGGCGTCGTTACAAAACCTTCTGCCCCAGGAGTCTTGGCTCGGAGCTCGGTGTACAGGAAACCGTGGCCTCCCTCCCTCCCTCCCTCCCTCCCTCCCACTCGTCGAAAGCCACGCGATCGTCGAGCGGATCTGCAAGCCTGGCCAACTCCAACAACGTGTGGCCTCTGCTCCCCGAATCTCACAACTGCTCCTCTCGGCTCTCGGCCCTCGGCTCTCGGCAACTGCTCTCATGACAATCAACCCTCGACCCCCAAGACGGGCCGAGCGATGTCCATAGCTGCAGAGAGTAGAGTGACCGTCAGCTGCCTCGTCGCTCCGGTCACTCGCGATCCCACGACGAGAAGCTGTGAAATGCCTGGCACGGAGCAGCAGCAGCAGCATACAATGTGCAACTCTCGAGGCGCTACTTATCTCGACGCGCAACTGCTCCTACGAATCCATCCTCGATCGGGAGAAGACGAATCCGGGCTCCGGGCCACGAGAGAGCCAAAATTCTTGACTCCTGTCGCCAGATGCGCGCTCTCTCTCTCTATCCGTCCCCACGAACACCTTCCCCTCCCGAACGCATCCACTTGGAAACAGTGGAATACTGGGAAACCCCCTCCATGCCTCCATTCCCTCATTCCCTTGCGCCCGCATGCACCTGCGATCCGGATGCTGTCCAGGGCAGCAGATGGAGGAGCAGGAGGTCAGCGGATTACTGCCGTCGCGTAGACAGTTCTAGACCTGCAGCAGCAGCACCGCCCCTCGATCAGCTCACGGAGGGCCTCGACCTCTGTCAGCACACGTGACTCGCAATTCCGGCAATCAGTGGCTTCGAGGAGGCTCGAGATCCCTCGTCTCGTCCCGAATGCCGAGGCATGCCTCCCCCTCCACTGTCGCTGCCGTCTGCCACTAGCATTCGCCGGTCGTCGCAACGCTTCGCGACCAGCGACCAGCGACCCCTTCCACGCGGTGCCGAGTGGTGACCGACCCGAGTTATACACGATGTACAATGCAGTTGGACCGGTCGCAGACCACCCTCCTTAAACTCCTTAACCCTGTGTCGTCGAGAAGGGAACAGCGTCTCTGCTCCGGTGGGAGATGGGAGGAATGTGCCAAGGTGCCATCTCCTGGCCGTCCGTACGTACAATTCCGTCCTCGCCCATCGAGACGTTATATTAGTAAGCAATCGACGTAATTATATACCATAGTATATACACTCTCGATGACTGACGAGATTACTGTCAGTCCGTGAGACGACTTCTTTGGCGACGTGGTGCTTCGAAGGACTGACTGACGGCGAGATGGCCGTCGTGCGGATGCTCAAGTGAAGCGCCGGTCCGCCGCTCTAACCCGGTGAACCGGAACGTGGAAGCCAACCACGTCGGGAGGCTTGTGGTGTATGATTGAACCAAGTGGACGTCCGACGTCGTTACTGAGTGCAGATGCTCTCTATAATGATCCGGCGCGTTTTGGAGTGCCCCAGAAGGCGGGAGATTGTACGAGGCCCACCTTGTAGCGCTAGAGAGCAAGACTTCAGCGTCGACACAAGTCAATACTTTATTTGGGGGTCCAATTATTCCCCCAGGTAGGAGTAGGTCTTGTCCGGACAGGATTTAATCGGGTATCGAGACAAGGCCCCCCTCAAGTGGTAAAGTGCTCAGAGATTCTTTTAAGTCCTCGTGGCGGGTGGAGAGGGCGAGGGGAGGGATTAGTTTTTACTTTGCCAAACCTTGAGAGTGAATAGATGTTTCTCTTCGTGTTTACATTTACTTTCATTAGTGTCCGCTCTTAAAATGTGGAAAATTGCATCCACGAGGATGCTAACCATACTCACAACCCATAACAATCAACAAAAGGATGTACGTACTTTCTGTGATTTCCGAAGCGATAAATGTGATATGTTCGTTGACATCAAGAGCATATCCAACTGGGGTCGATTTATAATCTTTGTAATTGTTCCCCACATGTCTCTTTATCCCATGTAAACAATAGATGACAAAGTCAACACGATCTACTACCTAAGCCTCTTAACTGCCTCATGGCGCTAGTAGAATAGCGAGAACGATAAAAACACTAGTCTTATGAAAAGCGAAGCCACAACCCATGACACCACATCTCAGACGATAGATGATAACTATAGAGATTTGCAAGCACTCTCTACTCTGATATAGACGATTATCTAAATGAAGTATAATTAAATCGATAAAGTACAAATGATAGATCATATTGGGACTGACAAAACCAAGTTAGACATCCAAACATTTTTTACGATGTCAGAAAAATTACCACCAGTCTCCTCACACATCACGTATTCGTTTCTCCCATTAGGTCTTATCATTCACTTCTTCCAACTTCAAAAACAATCTCTGAAAGGTGGAAAAACTATCATTACCAACAGAAAATGCGCCTGTTATTTGTTCCATTTCCAAGATAGATCTCGTTTTTGTTGCATCACCACGAATTATCCATACCATATAATTATAACAGGTAGAATAAAAGTAGTGATTATATAACCGGGATTGACTTCGCAAATAAAAGATAGAACCGAAGAAAAGTGATATATTGACCTACTCATATGCCTCACCCGGAATACTGGAGGCTTCACATTTTCCTACACTAACCCCTTCGATGTACTGACGAAAGATTTGGAACGCGAAGCATGCAAGAGAAGGGGCATAAATTATGCCGAATATCATAGACTATCATTGTGCCGCATAATGATATTCTATGAATGTGCCGGATACACGAAAGGACAATAATCGTTGGCTTTAAACGCGAGCCGATTTTGGTGAGAGAGAACAGGAGACAGGGCTGACGAGGTTCTGACCGCAGTCCGGGGTCGGATGGAGGCGTGGTAAATGAGGGACTACTCAACTACCCCAGTCGGCCAAGGCTTCTACGTACTGCGCCCGGCCATGCAGTCATGGACGTACGAGGCGAGCACCGTAATGAATGCCACGAGGAAGGCCCAGGGCGACATTGCGCAGAAAGGCGTGTGGATTTAAAGCCTCATACTCGAGTGCCGTGATTCGAGTGAGTGCTGGTCCTGCGCAGCACATGGTTCTGTCTTAAGTCCTGTGCTCGGCAATTAGTGCTGCTGCTCGCTTCCCCTATACCCTAAATTGTCCACTGCAGAGCAGCTTGGATGAAGTGCGCAAGTTTGTTCCTCGTAACCGGATTTGGGCGAGGGAAAATTATTGCTGGAATGAACCGTTCCACAGAAGTTCTCCGATAAATCGATCGGGACGAGTTGATTCTTGTGAAAGAGGAGCAAGACGTTGGTGGTCATCTTGTTTCTTCGTTTGGGATTTCAGGAAACATTTATCTTTTCATGACACATTCAGGTTTGTGTACACGCATTCCCAAAAAAATATTTCTCGGAAGAAAGAAGAGGTTTACAGGTTTATCGACGGGACTCTACGATCCAATCGTCCGTCCGGTGCTACTAAAGAGATTCTGAAACTTTTGGGCCAGAGATTTCAGTCCGGCCTTGGGCAATTCCGCGCTCCCGGACAGCAACAACTTGAAATCATCGAGTGCTGTGGGGCTCAGGGGTTCTAAAAACTCGTCCCTTCCTATGGGGTTGAAAGAAAGGGAGTCCTCCATCATCGTAGACGACGAAGGATTTTCCTTGTCGCTTTCAGCACTTTCATCACGTTCGACGCTGCTCACCCGCTCGAGGCCAATGTCGGCATCTTCTACGCTCTCCGATGTCGGGTTTTCGTCGCCAGACTTCCCGGCAAGCACGAGAGGAGAAGCACCAACAAAAACGTCTTCCTTGAAAGAAGCTGCTCGTGCCGATTGGAGACAGAAGTCAATCCATTGGTAACAAAGTGGAGATGGTCCTCTAACTCGGCCGCCCACCTTGGTGCTTGTCGACGGTGTCGCTGGAATCGCCTGCAGCAGACAGCAGAGGATATACCTAAGAAAGTTTAGAATTCAACGCAAAAGCCAAAGAAGCTCCTGGACCTTCTTCATTCATCCAATGCAAACACCTCACATGTCTAGAGCGAATAGAGTACTCCGACGCCTGAATCAAGGTTGAGTCAACTAGCATCGTCAAGTTTCTAGAGAGTGATTTATGTTTGGGACGATCACGGATAAATGAAACGTTTAAGAAAACAAATCGTGAATTATATGTAAGGGCGTGGATGGAGGAAGAAATGAAACCATAAACGTTCACGACCAGGGCTTTTGATCCTCTTGCTCATGATTCTGCGTTACTAAGATAGAAAGTCAAGACTTCATGTCATAACAGCAGTGCAAACTTCGACGAAGTGTTCTCATTCATTGACCTACCCATAGATCAGCCCATAAGCTCGTGCCTGATCGAGGACTGATAACAGTGATATTTGATGTCCTCTTGGCAAAAGGGATGACATCACCTGACCATCCAACTGCCACCCACACTTCCCCTGCTCCCAAGGTCTTCAAGTACTGTACGTTATCGAACAAACGGACCTGCAATAAATAGTTGATAAGCAGTCAGGCAGGTGAAGAAGACCCTCTTTCAAGTCGCGAAAGTTGAAGGAGGAAGACAGAAGTTTTAGCTACGGAGGTTCACAGGTGCAACATTTTGGGGTGGAAGTTGCTGCTTTCAAGAGTTTGAACATGCATAATATATCCTCACCACTTCAGCACGTAGCAAGGGATGTGACACAGAGGTGAGATGTATTGGTTGTAGACTATATCATAGAACAGGAGAGAGCGGAACCTGCTTTTGAAGAGAGCGAAACTTCTCTTCGACGGCTTGTCTTCCACCTGGAACATCAGTCTCGAAGTCCTTCACGTTGTAAGACGCCCCCAGGGACTTCAGGACTGCACCGACAACGTCCCTCGATGAAGATATCATTGCAATTCTGCCAGCGAGTTCTGGTTTCCAAAGATCATCCCAGTCCTGTGCAAAATGTTCCACTCAACCTTCAAATCTCGTGACACGCATTCGAATATACATATGAATTCGGGCATCTTAGCTCCAACGCTATAAAGATGTTTAATGGTCAATCCAAATATAGGACAGCTTAAAGCAGTGAAAGTCCCCAACTGACCTCGATCATAGGGATTCCATGTTGCTGTAGCTTCTGTCTATTGTAGGCAATCACTACTTTGCCCCATCGGTAAGGAATGGCCCAGACCTTCCCATGCGGATCAACATCTCCAAACTCGTTCCTTCGTAGGTATGTCTACAGAACATGACAAGCAGCAAAAACATGTTTCAGTCGCATCTCCTAAATATTGCATTTGTTATGATCATACAGCAACATCACGAAGGAATAGATCGAAGGCGGCAACATAATCTCCAGAGCCAACAGAATTCCGAACTTGCTGCTATACGGACCAAACGCAAGTAAAACTGTGATTTACTTTGGACCGTAACCGTCAATGAAGGACATCTTTTTCGACTATCAAAATCAGATATCGTTGATCTAGTATCTTCCAGCGCACAGCAGCAATCACAATGCTTTCACTTTTTCGGTTGGAGGAAGTCACAAAAGCCGAACTGCTTGGCACCGTAGGCGATTAATCCATGCACAAGGTCGTGCTCGACTGAGAAGCAAGAGCGGGGCATGAAGAGGAACTGAACTGTTGAGAACTTAAGAAAAACTCACCTGCCAGGTCGTGCCCAGGCGTTGAAACCATTCATATTTCTCTACATTCTCCATTGGAGTTATAAGACCCCCAGAGACGGCCCTGCCTATCCAGGATTCTCCAATGGTCACAAGATCTGCTGACAGAGCTGACTTCGGAGTCAGCTGCTTGCTGGAGAGGCCAGTTGATAAATCCGTAAATATGTTCTGAAGGTTGCCTTGGAACTCTGCCACCACTTTCACTCTCTTCCCTTGTGAAGTAGAAAAATCCTATCATCGACAAGTGGAGCAAATAAACTCGAAATCAGTACATGGCATGAGATGTAACAGGGTCCCTTTCGGATGAATGTGGGCATGAGATGGTTCCTATTTGAAATTCCTGGACAATACGTCGAGATTGTACTCAGTCAAGTTTCTTCCTGGATTCTGGTCTGGTCATGTCGTTGTCAATTTATTGAAGTGTACCTCGGTCTGAGGACAATGGAATTCAGTTTAACCTAATCATTGATGACTCTGTTCAGGTAGCGAAAGCACTGGAAAATAAAATATGTCCAGTCTTCCTTAGACAGCATGATTATCTCCTCATACTGAAAATGGCAAATCGATTTCGGTAGGGCGTTCCGCGGTTTCATAAACAAAATTCTATCGAGAGTTATAGACTTACCTTCAGCCAGACAGGTGGCACAGACCCTCGAAGGCCGACGAGTCTGAGTGGTACAGTAAGTGCGTAAGGTGTTGCTTTCCAAACTTCGAACTCTCGACGTGCTTCTTCGTCATCTCCCTCAATCTCCGCAGCCAGTGCGGCTCCTGTGATGACATCCACGTCTAAGTCTGTCATTGCTACTCCACAATATATTCCCGACCAGAAGGTGGTACTCCGTTCCGCACATTAATCTCCATGGAAGATGAACGTGTCATTCAAAGAGCCTTCTCGGTGTTGCACATGAAGTCTAAATTATCGGGCACTTGTAGACTTTGAAAGGCATGCCTCGTTTTGATTTAAGCTGGAGCTGGACAAAGCTGGAGAAATGAATTTCCATAGAAATTGAGAGCACGTTATAAAGTGCAACTTTCGATAGTGACCTCCACTTGCGTTCGACTTGCGCCAAGACAAAGAGATTCGAGAATGGACGAGCAACAATCTTGCTCGACTGCTACCGCCAAGGGAGTCAAGACGAGAGGACGATAAGAGTTGTACTCAACAACTTAAAAATACACTACATTGGAACCGCGCAGAATTGCAAGCTGGAAGGGGCAGCTTTCCCAAGATATTACCATTTATATGAACCGCTTGGTGCTGAACAATTCCATGGAAGTCGTTTCGACTCCACGCAGTGCCGTCGACAATGCTCTCGTTGATTCTTTTCTGATCCTCTCTATCATCCAAGTCTGCTGTGATCATTTCCCTGGCTCCTGGATCTGAGCCCTCCGACACCAAAATCGGAGAATTGAGAGACCGAGAGTACGAGATTGAAGAGGATTTCCTCTTCCCGTCTATCGGGGGCCCAGTGACACTTGCAGTAGCCACTCTCGCGCCTATGACCATGCCCAGAGCAATAAGCACTCCCACCAATTGCAACTTGGCTATCAGTTGTTCCAGGAAGGACTTCGTTTCAGGTTTCTTTTCCACGAAGAGTCCAACCGCACAGGGTGAATTATCATAACAATCCAACACCATGGACTCGTGTTCAGTCCCGTCGCCATCTACGCCATCTTCCACAGAAGCAGCGGCCACAACCGTCCCAACGCGAAGGGACCGTCTTCGAGAGCTGCAAAAAAACTGCAGATACGGCAAAGGCTTGTCGAACCTCAAATGCGTCCGCTTGGTGCTACGGTTCGAGCTGGGGCTTTTCCTCACCCTGCTCTGCACCAATTCTTTCGATGGGCGCGCTGGGGACGGAAGGCTAATCGCCATTACCATAGCCATCGCCTTCGACGAAAATCCTCCAGGAATCCTTGGCAAGTCCTCCGTTGGAACTAGTCTAAATTTTCGAGGTGCTCCAATTCGCGCACTCATCGAAATCGTCTCGATGCAGACGATCCATAACGACAAGAAAGAGGAGCTGCATCACATGCTTCCCATCTGTCGTAAGCTCCGAACTACAACATCTCGTCTCGGCAGGGGACCATTCCCGAGCCCAACTCTGCTCAGACCAAACACCGTGAAAAATCCATCCCGACGCAATTTCCTCCGTCAATCGCCTGGACTTATCTGATCAAGAGGTCGGGTGACGAATCACAGAGTCATCAAGTTCGACCATGCCCCTTCCGCGTTCCAGTGTCAATTCAATCCTCGCAAGCTTGTTTCTGGGAAGGTTTCAACACCTGACCGTGGAAAGACCGAAGGTAGGATTGCAGCAGTACAATGTCAACAGCTCAAACTTCGCATGCGTCTCCGGCGCATTCTTTTGATCCAGGCAGACTGACGGGTGCTATCGACGAATCCTTGTCACAGGGGAGACTAGGCTAGGGCTTATGTGCTAGAAAAGAGTCGAGCTATCGACAGACTTCCAGGAATTCCTGCTTGATTTGAAGTTCGGTCTGACCGCCGAAACGAGAGCACAGCAATCTGCCGACCCGATTTGGAGTCCATTCCTTATGTTCTGCAGGAGCTCTCTGTGGTGGCACCGTACATGGCACCATTCTTCCAAAACCCTTCGGCCTGTGACTTGTGTCCATGAGTTCGGGGACTCTGTCTTGTGGTGCGTGTACACCTTACACCACTCCGCATCCAGCTTCAGCTACGCACTTTCTTCATATACGAACCTTGAGCTGGGATTGGCATGTAAAGAGTGGGCTACTGTAGTGTGATGCTAAAATAAGTTTCATTCGTAACTAGTGTTCCACAGACATTTCGTTTGCCATTTTCGAATTGGGCATAATTTTTCTCCTTTCTTTCTTTCTCTACCTATTTGCATATTACACAAATTTTACTCTGATGTTCTTTATGGTTTTCTATCTCCTATTGTCAATTTATGTGTCGGCCTTCTTTCCTCTCAGTTAAAGAAAAACCTAGAGTGGTGTATTTTATCTTCCCTTTCCTTCATTTCCTTCCATACGTTATGACAAAAAATCTGTGACATTTTTCTTACACCGGCGAAGGCTGTACTGATTATGATTGATAAACTTCAGTCGTGGCGCTATGATTGCTTGTGTTTTGTGTCTGCACAAATCTTTATCATCTACGCTCCGCGTTCGCTCTTCACTCCGAGTATTACATTCCACATGTATTGCATGGATGTTCACTCTCATTCTGGTGCGAGTTTGATCGTAGATTCTTCTCTTCTTCTCAACGTTACATATCTTGCGGGTATTTCAAGGTATCTTGCTCAACGTGCATTTTCTCTCTTCGGCAGTGGTTGTAAGGAATTTCTTTCCGACAAAGTTATATTGATTATATCTTTTCATATACTAATTTTTAGATCCACCCAGCTTTGTTTTCGACAGGTACCTGTTGTTGTTCACTTCGGTCATTAAACTTGCAAATGCACCTCTGTCAATTTTGTTGCATTTAGGATTGGGCACATTCGAGATAATACATATCATTTATGTTATGTATATACAAATGTACACATGTACACACGTATATATGTACATTTGTACATTTGTAAATTTGTGTCTACATGTCATATATAATACATATATAATGTATGTATCAAGTTCAACTAGAAGAATACATCTTCTCTTGTTGGTTGTGCGAAAAGTATCCAGCTGAAGCTGTTGGTGTTAAATGGCTTCCATGTGTGCGAATCTAAGAAGATTTTGATATCAGATCTACCCCATGTGACATTGACCAGTTGCCGATCCGGCCTATTCTACTGTCACGTCACAAAGCATGAGCCAGGCGAGGCAAAATGACTCAATGAACGGATATTATAGACAGAGAAGACGACAATTGAACATATCTCAGTTGCAGTTTCAATGCTAGCAGGTAAGAGTCACACGCGACTTCAATCAGTTGGGAATCTAAAAATCAGCCGAGTTCAAATCGATCCGGAAGAGAAAATGAATCTAATCGACCTAGTGAGCGCTATGAAAGATTTGATGACAGCAGTACATCCCGCTCTGATAATAAAAATCCAGTCCGAGAGTGAAAAACTTCGTTCACACGCACGACATGAAGCGGTTTTCTTGGTGTCAAAAACTGAGCTCAATTACTTCATTCCCACTGTTACCGTTAAATGGCCTTCGAGGTTTCATAAATGTGAACATTTAGGGTAAAAACCCAAGGGCGATCACCCTGTTACATAATTTAGGCACATTATTACGATGCAGCACTAGTAGATTCGGACTGGCTTTCCCATGGATGTCTTGAGGTACAGGACTCTTACCTGCAATGAAAGCACAACAACATTATGAGTTACAAACCAATCTCGGATTAAATAAGAAATCAAAGATACACAAAATTGACAGAAATCTTGTTTTAGAAGCATATAGAGAGAGAGATGAGCTCACGTTTTGCCAGTTCTTCTTCAGCAAAGAGACAAGGAAGTTAACACTCAATTGAGTGTTCTGGAAGATCTGCTTCTCCTCCATTTCGCAATTACCGACAGCAACTCCCATACAGAGCACCTTCTTCAATTGGAACTTAACCATGGCCTTGGTCTCATTCACCTTAGCTTCCAGAGACTCCTGGTGGGACACAAGGGCAGGAAACTTTCCAGCCTTATTCAAACCAGGACCCAAGAGACGGGGGATTTGCTTAATGACAGCCTCTGAAGCGAGAAAGGCGTGGTACTTCTTCGCCAGCTTCTTCACGAGCTTCTTGTTCTTGTTCATCTTCTTCAAAGATTCGATGTCCATGTAGTCGAGACCCATCTTCTCTGCTTCCTCGACGTGCTGGGCGTCTCCGAGCATGCACACCTTCATCTTCGGTCTGGGAACATGGGGCAACTTAACAGACCCGCTGAAACGCTTGTCTTTTTGCGGGTCGTAGTTCTTGAGACCGATCTGCAATTCCACAGTTTCTGTGAACTTGCGGTTCTTCTCCTTAGCCTCGGTCACCACCTGGGTGATGGCCTCCCTGAGGACATCGCTCTGCAGCTTACTGATTTCCCAAGAACAAAACGTCAGCTACCATAATAGATTTGCAATCTCTTATTCACCCCACCGACAACGCAACACAACCTATCCTGCCATGAGTCCCACTTACCAGGCAGAACCCAGGAATTAACCTTTCCCCCGGGATTTCACCCCCAGGTACCCATTTGGGGAGAGCAGCGTAGAGCTAGCTGCTCCCCGCTCACGGCTGGGTGGACCGCGTAGCGTAACCTCCATAGAGAGGCCAGCCTCGCCCGTTCTACAACACTGCTGAACCGGCGGAAACACTTCATAGCTGAGAGAGAAAACACCCGAGTGCTTCATTCAACAAAATGACGAAAAAGCCGTGAAGCAACTCGGGATGAAAATCGATCGATTGATCGATCTTGCGCCAACTGCAGCGTCACATTCCACAGGTCTTTCATTAGTGAATGGATTCGAACGCACCTCATCGCGTTCGAGCTGGATGCTCCTGTTCGGTCCGGCGGATTACAGTGTCTTCAAGACTGTCTGAGAAGGAGCGCAAAGAGACCAGACAGGTCGCCGAAGACAGTATAAGAGCTTCATTGTTTCAAGAATTCCTCGTCCCCAGAGTCACACGCCCCCCAGCCTTAACCCTAAAGCACATACCCGGCGCACCAGGAGTCCAGCCGCCTGCATGATCTGGCAACTGCGTAGTACTCGTAGACTTCTCCAGTTCACCACAGTTGCTACTGCGCTGTTCGGGTGACTGCTCTTGACGACGAAAAGTGTGTGCAAGAAGAGTCTACGGTGAGTTCCCACTCTTGGCAGTCGGCAGACAGCACGGGGGTTTGAACTTGACCACGAAGCCAACTTGACTGCGGGTGTGGTGACAACAGTGCGCTGGGATTGACCGGGTTGGGTTGGGTTGGGTTGGGTTAGTGCGGTTGGGTTCGAAGTCCGTCGTTTCTCTCGCGTTTCCGTTCAACGAGAACACGTGCAGTTTTTAGGACATGTACCTTTGAGGGTCGACGCTGAACAACTTGATTCCGCACAGATACACAGATCTCCTCTACTGTCTGGAGTCAGGACGGGACGACTCTCTGTAATCTGAAGCTTAATCGGTGAGGTCTAGGTACGTCTTGATTCCTGGAATCGCGATCTTCTTGTATCTGCCATTTCTTAGGTTTCTCATGGCGCCCGATCGAAAGGTCCTTTGCATCCCATTGTGCAGCGAGTCTGGAGCGAGTAGCAGGATGAGACCGGGGCGATATGATGTTTGCAATCATTCATAGTTTCTTCAAACCATCAGTTAGTTTATGATAAGGAATAAAATACATCAAATAATTGCTGTAGTTGAGTTATTGCAATCGACAAAAAGGTTAACATCGCATGTACAAGAATTTATTTCTTTTGGGTGCAAATATGATGACATGAATATTCATGGTATTTCGAAGATCCGTCTGATTTACAAAAATTGATAAGAAAACGAAAATATGTTGAAAACTTGAAGTTGCACTTCAAAACAATAAGCATTTTATTTCTTTAAAGCGACTAAGATTCGAAGCCCGTACCAAGCCGAAGACAGAAATAATTTGCTTTGAACCTCATCACGCGCCTCCATCATGGAGGTTCGACATGTTGCATTCATCTTCGATGATGAAGCTTTGGTGACGTCGAGAGATGTCCAAGCTGTGCGGAGATCAGTCCAAGGCAATGTCTTCCGCCCTGTGCCCTCGACATTCAACGAGCTTTGCCTCCATAAGTGTAGAGATCGGCATTGAAGGCTCTGGAGGGCTCAGCTACTTATGTATTTATCCCGACAGCAGGTGAGCAGACATCCGAGCACAGCTCATGGAAGAACTTCGATACTTGGCCTTCGGCGTGCAGTGAGCAAACTGAATGAGCTATTTGACGACATGATCCCGCACTTTAAACTCGTAGGTCGAGGTCGTGATGTGAATGTGGTGGCTTACAGACAGCAAGATGAATGTCTTCTAACTAGATAAAGGCATCCCGTCGTCGAACGGCAAAACCCTCTGCGCAGAACAAAGGCTCCACATTAGCAGAGTGGAAATAGACAGCAATTCGGACCTTGGGCATGAATGGACGGATGTCGGCGGTTTCAAGAGATCCTCATCCTTTACCTTCCGAAACAGAGTCTAGAGCTGGTCCGTGTTCGGAGGTTTCCTCGATACAAGCAAGGTCGATGCCGTATGTATTTCTTGGGCCTCCGAACGACAACCTTGATTTGACGTAGGATCGCCCTGTCAAAGAGGAATCGATGTTCCAAGCTTTCAATTTTCTCCACAGCTCTTCTTCCAGGCCTTTCACTCCCATACGTTGGATGGCGCTGGCAGTGATGTCATCGACTAGAGGCGTCATTCCGGTGGACACACTCATTGGAGTCATGGGAGGCAATACAGAACCTGTTGCCATCGAGAGTTAGTTCATAAGGTTAAATCGAAACTCTTCTGGAGTCAAAAGACAAATCATAATCCTCCAATGCACACGAGACCTAACCTGACCAAGTTCAATTGAGATTTATGCAAGAGTGACCCACTTCATGAGAGACGGTCAATCTTGTAACGTGATTACCTGGTGTGGCATACGGAGTTTCGAAATACTTTTTGGCCGTGACACAAGGAGTTGAAGGCTCTGAAGAATCGGCAAAACACCCCATTTTCGACACTCCTAGTGGTTTGCACGTTTTGGGTGGCGAACTGCCGAATCCTGGAGTTTCAGGGATAGGGGTTGAGGGACTCACGATGGAACCCATCTTGCCGAAAGATCTTGGATACCTCAGGACGAGCTCCTTGGGTATTGCGGGTGTTTGAAGGTCAACAGATGGAGGACTGTCGGGTATATTCTTTAGTTGCTCTCGAAGATGAGGCGGAGTTCCGACAGAAGAACCTCCGCTGCTAGGAGTGGGTCCTTTCAGATGGACAGAACGAGGTGGGGAGAGAATCTTCGGAGTAGAAGGTAGAGGGCTGAGAACATCAGGCGCTTGTGAATCACCTTCACATGATTGTGAGTTGGGGATCTCGAGTTGAGGGCTTAGATGAGAAGTGCCAGGTATGGACTTATTGGGTCCAGGGCTGGAGGGAAGGGGTTGAGGTTCGCGCAGTGGTGAAGATGAAAATGAGTATACTTCATCTGAATTCGATCCTATGCTGCTGGTTTCCAGCACAGCTTGGACTCCAGAAAAAGCTGCAAGGTCTCGCTTGGGAAGATGAGGCCTAGCAAGGGGAGTTAGGCAGAAGAGGGAAGATGGTAAACTGCAAGGAACAAGGGGTGAGCTGCTGATGGAGTTGTCCAGGAACGAAAAGGAGACTCCTTCCAGTGTGCCACATGGAGGCGAGGTGACCTCCGCAAGGTTCAGAACCTCTCGCTTTTGTGGTGACGGCGGCCTTTCTTCAGCGTTTTGGAGAAACTTTTGCCATACCTGATTGAAGCAACGGACGCTAGAAATATTAGATGGCTTCGCTACTAGAGGCGAATAGCCGACATCATAAATCATCTATCTTCGAGATAGTCGAGCACGGGGCAGAAGTCGGGTCCAGGACTTTACCTTCATCAACTCCGTCATGTCCGAAAAAGCCGATGCTATTCTCCTTGTTTCTTCATCAGAAAGCTGGTTCGAAAGACGCAAGCGATGGGCAGTCTCCACCAGGCTGTCTACCTGATAAGATGGATAGAAGCAGTTGTGGTCAACTGCATCCATGAAGAACTTCAAGCACGAAACGGACATGAATCTGTCCACATCCTCTTCCCATCTGTTGCCTCCAACCTGGTCTGGGAAAGGAAGCTTTTCTCGTGCAGCAACGACTGGACCGCATCCTCAGTACAAAATACTCAAAATCGTGCTCACAACTATCCCGTAACTCACCTGCTTGAGTGAGTCCGATAGTCTCGAATGAGCTGCATGCAATTCCTGCAGAGGAGTGCTTGTGACAATCAACGTCTTGATTTCCGGGAGAGGAGTGTGCTTGATGGTGTTTTTTGTCCTGTGCCATGGAGTGCCCTTAACAGGTTTTGCATCTGTTGTCTGAGTGGAAGTCTTGTTGGCATGCCATGGAGTAGAAGTTTTGGGATTCTTAGCTTTGTCCTCCAGCTGCTTACTCTTGAGAGATTTTCGGTCTTGCCCGAGATTGGACACCTCTTCGAGAGGCCTTCCTTTGATCTGGTGGCCCATAATGCTTAAATGACGCTCCTTCTCGGAGCAGCTTTTTTAATCACTTCCCAGACACTGTGATTCCAACCGCAAAAAAATTCTGCAAAGAAAAACTTCAAGTATTCAGTTCCTTGGATCGCTTTCGCGAATAAGACACCAAAAGCATCCATGTATGCCATACCTGCCTTTGGGCTCTGTATCCATCAAAAATTTTAACAGGCCGCAAAACGGCATTCTCAATCTGATAACACGACTGTTGTTACAAAACTGCAGATGCAAATACTGTAAAGCCCCTGTACGCAGAGTCAAGTAGCGCACATTTCTCCCACGACGTCACTAAAAGGTGATTTCGATATCACTCCATTTTTCACAATGCTGTTTGCGCCACTCAGACTAATCGGGTCGAAGAACCTTCAGAAATACCTATGTTCTAATAGCGTAAGTCTACATGTGATTTCGTTGGAACAAAAATAGATCAAATAGTCTTGAAAGCATGAACTCGTGAGCGAACGCAATACCTCGAAATCATGTATTTTGGCTACATTTACTACGCGGCAGCAACGGTGGACAGCAGGAATTCACTTAAGCTGTGGTATTGATTATCTCCAATTCTTCAACAGAATCCACAAGCACGGTCAGAGCGACGAAGACCTTCAAACATGCGACAACTCTCCAGACGTGCTGAATTTCGTGTAACACTAGAGATCCCCCAGAAGATACAGAGTCTAAAGCAGAGATTTTACTGATCGGTCACGTCTACATAAAATTCTCGGAGTAGACTTAGCAATGTGAAAGCAACCATGTGTAGGAGAATTTACAACTTGTAAATCGACTAAGAACATGTAGACAGACAACGGTAGTAGGTTCAGACAGTCGGGTCAACAAAATCCTGATTCTTTCCCCAAGTATAGGAGTCGGTGGCCTGTCGGAATTACTAGTCACGGGCTGAAACTTCTATCATCAACTCCGACATCCAAATCATTTCATCAAAGAAAGGGTCAAGTCGACCATATGAACATAACAAAGTTTCCAATAAGCGTGCGAGGGAATAACAATCGAAAGATGTACCGCATCAAGAGAGCCAATGTTCACTAAAGAGCCCCAGGAGGACAACCCGACGCGAATGTCCATTGCCGAGAACGATGCACTTTGCATTGCATGCGCCCCTATTCCTCGACCGCATTCGCCCGTCAGTCTGCCCTGCGCTCCCGTCTTCGCCAGCCCACAGCCATGGATTCCTCGACCTGAAATTCTCGCCTCGGCCTAGCTCGACACACACGCAGACTCTCGAATTCGCAGGGCAGCCAGATGCCGAGCTGCTGCACTCCGCTGCATTCAGTGACATGGAAACGGGCGGCAGAGTGGCGGGCACTTGCTCGTTGAAGCACTGACGCGACGCACCGGCTGCAGCCGGTTCGAATTTGAATATACACCATGCACATTCCAAACGGTCCTCCGCTTTCTTGCCCGGCTCGACAAAGTTTATCTTTATCCGGTTGTGATCTGTTTCCTAAATAGACTGTAGCTGATTTAATCTGTTTCTCATTTCTTTTATTTACATTAACAATTGATATTATGTAAATGAATTGTTTGTAACCATTAACTATTGGAGTTTGAGAATGTGAGTTATTACATTGCCTGCATGCTTGGAGTATCGTGATGACATTAGATGAAACCACAAAATATTGAACAGGAAAAAAAAGTAAACTCAATTCAGATATGAATTATCTTTCTAAGAGATTTATGGAACTTACAAGGTTTCTTTCCAATTTGTTCAAGATTTAAATGTCACAAATTAAAGATCATTTTAAGAGTTAACTTTTCAATCAAAATTTTAATTTTCTCAAATGTAAGATATTTAGGCAATAGATTCATTACATTACAATACATCACTTCAGAAAAATCATGCTATTATATTTTCTGTGGATTCGGTGTCAATGTTAATTAATTACATTGAATAAGTCCTTAACTTCAAAACTCAGTTCTTATATATCAAAATAACATTGTTCATTATATGTAATTGATTCTACTATAAAAATTATATTTAAAATTATATTCACTATATCATGCCTTCACAACAAACATTTCTTCAATAGTCCACACAACTTTATGAAAATTATTTAGAAATCATGATTTCACCTTTTCACAATCTACTCATAAAGTAGTGTGATCCAGTTAAGCATAATCTAACTAAGTAATTTCTCTTCATGTCTTACCTGATTATTCTTAAAAAACCACTTTTATTCACATATTTGGATTCCTTTTTTTATGTATAGTTTGATTTCAGCTTCTTTCCTAAAAAATTTGTACATAAGACATATCAACACAAAAAATATTTTTGGAATCTATAATGATTTATCGAATTCATAAATAATTCGAAAGTCATCTCAAATTTTTCCAATTCCATTTCTCTAGATTTGACGTTTATTTCATAGATTAAGATATAACTATGTCAATATAGATTGTCAAATACATGGTGTTACATATTTCGTATTGTGCTATGGTAACATCTTTAAGGTCTCGCATTTGTATCGATGAGATATTGATTAATTGAAAAGTTGAAATGTATCTCCTAATGACATAAATCGATTAGACAATGTTCATGTTAAAAATACCTAACACATTGATTGCTCCAATTCATCAGAGTACAGAAAATTCCAATTTTAAAATTATTGTGATATAATTTATTTCAAAAATATCCAAAAAAATTTCTACATAAAACTTTCATACTATCTTATTAAAGTTAAATGATGTTCTTATCAACGTGTAGATTACACAGACTTTTTCTAAAACCAAAATCGACAACATTGAACACCATAGATGCTAAAATCTAATTCGGATATTTCACTAGAATATATTTATTTACGTTTATTTAAACAATGTGAAATGCGTAATTAACAAAAATCGGAAAAAATTGATTCATACAGGGAAAACTTGTCGGGCATGTCATTCGAGACCTGTCATGTTTTGCAGAGCGAGAATCAGCATGGCACAGTTGTTGCGTCAGTGACCGATGGGATCAGCTCGAGGGAACAAGTATTTTGATGCGTTTCCATGACATGGACGTCCACTGTCATCAGTCCAAAGCTACAGGTTGCCTGCACTCATTGGCTGGCTGCTGTCAGCAAGCAAGGTGGGAAGAATACATGCGTGAAACAAATCGTCAACAGGAATCGCCGGCATTGCTTCACGTCTGTGCACGAGACCAATCCCGAACTCGATCACTATTCAATCACCTTTTCGAACATTGTAAGTACGAGCCCGAAATCGGACTGCCTGAGACAATATTGCAATATAATTCGAGGATCGAGGCGGACATGAAAGCAATCATCACGTCATCGTGCATTTCTCCAACTCATAGAAGAATATATTCTCTTCTTATAATCATATCTCGATAATTTCGACTGCCAGTCGTTTGGCAAATTTATTGATTTTTGTGTCAATCAATTGAATAATTGAAGAAATGTACACACGCAGCTAAGAGATAGAATCAGCAGATCTCGATAAGCAACCACAAGCTTCAGAATAAATTCCAGTACATCGATTTCTCGAATCCTCCACCGAGACTTCGGTTGCAGGTTAGGCGACAACAAGCTCAAACGAGCTCGCTGACGCCTCGACGTCATAGGTAGCACCGTGAGCGAACATCCAGAAAGCTTTGTCCGGCTCGGGCACGGCTGCAAGTTGCTGCATCATCGCAGCTTTGTCTGCTTTGTCGACACGAAGGATCCAGATGGATTTCGTCGGATCTTCTCGATAGTAAATCACACTATCGTCGACCTCCACATGGCGCGTGCAATCCACACCCGCCAGGGCGCTCGGGGATCGAAGCTCACTCAGCAGAGCTCTGCGACGAGCTGCAGGAGGAGCTGCAGGAGGCGTCGTCGCATTGGTTGTGGCGTTACTCGTCCCGTTGATAGTCTCGTTGACGGCCGGAATCGGAGCCTCGACGATAGGAATGCCATTGATGCATCTGCTCTGCCAGCTCGCAGCGGTGTAAGTGGCACCGCCGCTGTCGAAGCAGAGGGAGCCATTCTTCGTGTTTATTGTGATGTTTGCGGCACAGTCGCCGTCCTTGAATGCCGTGGTCCATTGACATCTGTCGGCTCGGACCTGCACCGATTGATATGCATTGTCCGAGACGCAGCAGGATCCATTGCTGATCGAGGTGCAGAGACTCTGCACAAGCCCCGTGCAAGTAGGCCCGTCCCAGAAGAGGTAGTCCACGGCCTGCGCACCCCGGGGGACGGACACCGACAGAATCACCAAGACTGAGGCCAGAAACATGGTTTCTGCTTCGAGCTTTGCCATGATTCTCATCCGGAGTTGCTGCCTTCTTGTGATCGGACCTGCAAGATCAGCATAGCGAGAGCGAAGCTGTTAACAAATAAGCTGCGCAGAGGACGCTAGGAACTCTCGTTTCTGAACCTGGATGATGGACATGGAACAGACAGCATTGGCAGGATGCAGTTGGATACACATCAACAAACGAATTTTCTTCATCCTTTGGCAGATAGACTGGAACTGAATTCCATTTCCGGCGTATCTGTCCCATGCCCTGTGATTGGTACAGCTTAGCAGATGATGGATTAGCAATCAGGATGGTGGGTGGAAGAAACAACGACGATACACGATTTTTTGTGTCTCCAGTTGCATGGCACGGACAATTTCTTCAAATCCGTGCCTGATTTTACCTTTGATCCGATCAGAAGGTGGACTCCCCAGTGCTTTTCTGCCTATCAAAAGCTTGCACTTATGATAGGTGAAGCACTGGCTCGTATCGATGTCTGCAAAAATGGATGATTTGATCGGAGGCCCCTTCAGCGTTTTGTACTCGGAGAGTTTCAGCTTGCCCTGGATACTCATGAACTTCTCCAGATCAGTTCCAGGTCATCCCAGTTCAGGGTTGACCTGGAAACCTTCTTCAAACCATGGGCCTCCTCGCTGCTAGCTGCAAATGATTCAGCAGAAAGTGTCACGATTCCCGGACATGATATGACATCCTGTTACGATAATGTACAAATCAGACAGACAAGTCGATCTAATTGTTAATTGACGTGCCATCTGCGTTCGCTTTTCGTGGTCACTATAAGAATATGCTCCAGGTCATGGTGACTGATAGCAACAGGATTTAGCTGGTTCTTGCAAAAGCTTGACCACTAACTCATCAGGACTTTCAGGTCCAGACCTGAATCTTCGAAGAGTGAATATTGTCATCCATTTCATGAACTTGCAAGTATTATTCTGCCAAAATAGCGAGTATGAGCCAAACAGACTATTCTTGTGACCCATTATCGAAAAGCCGAGAAGAATTGCCTTCATGGCCACAAGATCTTTCGAACAACATTTGGCATCAGCAGTCACAGGGCCAGCATAGGAAGAAGTACAAGAGACCTGATGAGAAGTAAAGTAGTTATTCTCACTGAGTTTTGAAACCAAATTGTTGGCTTCAGAATAATAAAATTTGACCTGAAAGTGACTGGACATGGTTGGGTTATGGTGTTAAGGTTGGGTTCGGGAGACAAAGAGCCCCGTGGCTTGAATATGTCGCACTAACAAAGAGGAGATGTTGACATCTCTTACTGTTGTACTTGTTGGTGGCATTGTCATTGTCGCGCTTATGAATTTGAGTGATTATGTCTGTTGTGTAACAAATATGATTGCTCCAATCTTATATTTACTTCCAAGTTCTTGATCATTGAATTGCTTTGACAGCTTCAGTTTGCATCTCATGAATGCACGTATAGCGACCATGCATGTCTGGTCTGCACCAAACCAAGTCAAGTCCTGTCATGGAGACCTCGTCTAGGGTGGAATCATTTATTTCCAATATGTGAACAACGTTCTGTCAAATTCGGTCATATCAGAACGAGATGATACAAAAGATCGATTGTTTTCTAAAGCTGTACCTGCTGTATCTTGGAAATTTTATTTTATTTTAGAAATACGTCCCATTGACTTTCACGATAGCATGATACGAGATCACGGCTTTTGAGGGTACCTAATATCGAACATATTGTAATTATTTTAGTTCAGATAATTTAGCGTCTTCTTTCTGTTCTTACATGTTTCAAGATCGGAGGAGATCATCTGCTTAATACTTATATCAAATGTCACTCTAAGAAGAAAAATATGATCTTTTCTGGGTCAAGAGGTTTTCATTTCATTATGAGATCGGAATATAGTAAAATAGTTCGATAGGAAATGAAATGAATCACTCCTCTGCTACAAAATGTTGTTAAAATTTATAGTGTTTTTTTAATCAAGAAATGTGTTGATGAAGACGAGGTTTTGGGGTTTTGGGTCACCGAGGAGCTCTATAGCACCGTTATCCTTCAAGCTAAAATGACTCATCAGATTTCGGAGTCAGGATCTTCTCCGCATCAGGATAACCAATTAGAGCATTGGGCAACATATGCTTTCTACTCCATATGACAATTCAAATTCCCCTTGATTTACTGAAAAGGTTTGCTTAAGTGCACTATATGCTGTGGCAAAACGGCATGAGATAGCATCGACTCTTCTTGCATTTGGCTCGGGTGCAATTTGGTTGCATTCCTTTCTAACTACCCTTCTCGGAGTCCAGAATGCATCCACATTTGTTCATCTCCCTAGCAGAGAATGTGTACAAAAGGTTGACTGGAATAGATATGACTTCCCATTACGACTTAAAATAAGATGGTATTACCTGTCGTGCTGAATGGAAGAATCTAGTCCAGATCCCGTTAAGCCTTAAACCATAGCAAGCACATTTGTTGCAGACATGTGTTCGAAGGTGAGAACTTTGCATTCCCTTGTGGATTTTTCTAATTGGTGCTCACAGTAGATTGCATTGCATTCACAGATTGAGAGAAGAACAACAGCAAATAAAGCTTGAAAAAGATAAAACTTTTGAAGATCCGAGTTTCAAAAGCTTTTTCTTTTCAAGCTTTCTCTGCTGTTGTTACTATGTCAATCTGTGAATGAAGTGCAACCTACTGTGACCAACATTTAGAAAAATCCAAAAGGCAGTGCAAAAGCTCAGATCTGCAGAAGAGAGCAACAGAGAACGATTTGATCAGTGAACAGCAGAACAGGCTGTTGGGGTTTCCTTAGACGTTACAACATCCTTCATTTTTTCTGATTTCTCACTCGCAGTCAAATTCGGCTGATAACATGTGAAGAAGAACAGACATATCCAAGTCTGAAGAACTCTATCGTTTCACTATGACTGTGAGTGCAAGGTATAGAAGAAGCAATGGAGATTTTGATCCTCGTCCATCCACAGAGTTGCGTGCATGGAAACTGATGTCGGTGGATTGCATGCAAGGGATGGACGTGGATCTAGTTTGCGCTTGAAATCCAATTCTGCTCACTGCAATATCAGCGGGCCGTGTTCGTTACACGAGTCCTCGAGCAGCTGCTGTTAACTGATGAGACGGTAATTGAAAACTTCATAATCGAAGTAACGAGTCTACTTCTTTCCCAGTTCTCTCTACGGATCATCTTCTTCCAACATTGCACTGTGCTTCTTTCGAGTCTCTCCTGATCATAGTCAGAAATTTTCATGCATCATGTGAACCTCTTCAGGTGGACTGTGTGAATATAGATTATAGTGTAGACCATAATGGGGATTTGTGGAATGGACGCAATGGTTGCGAAGGTCCAATACGTGGAATAAGGGTACTCTAGCTGATAGGCTCGTCATTCGAGGCCCTGCTGTAGAGAAACTTTGTTAAATTAAGAGTTGTTATGGTGCAAACTATAGGTATTGCAGAACTAGGGGCACATCAGGGAGGACGAAGTTGCAGAAATCAGAAAAGCTATTCAACCACGAGACGATGACGAACAAATTGTACATATCTGTGATGATTTTGAGCTTCCAGTAATTGGAGCACTATCCCACAACCAGCTCTCATATCTCCGAACTTTCTGATCTCTAACGATCAAGACCACTCCTACCCTTGGGATTTCCTCACTTCCCCCCAAATGCCGTCCGATCAATGGATGATGATTCACTTGCGTCCAAAATCCGCAGATTTGCTTCTCACCAACCTGATCTGAACCATCCCTACGAGAACCGTGGCTTTGATAACTCCAGTACGATACCTGACAGAAATCACCACCTTCTCCATACTGGCTTTCGGTAATGATCTGCTTTCGTCGATCTCATCTACGTGTGTAGTCGTGCCATCCTGATCCAGCCGCCACCTTTCATCGGAATCGCACCGATTAGCACTCATGCGTAAAGTGATCTACAAAACATCTGCCATCATCCTGAGAAATTGATCGGTGAACAGACATTGGTATGCAGGCATGGACCGAATTCCATCGCCAAGTATTGTTCTAGAGAATCGTTGACAATGGAGAGCTGTGGCCATTACTTATAGGCACAGATTGACGATGAAAAAGGATATACAGCAAATTCTTTCAGATATATGGCTGATATTAGCAATCAGGCAGCTGAGGAAGGTGATTTCTCCTGCTGTGGTGCGTAGGACGCACAGTTTTTACAAGATCAACAGTTCCTCGCTACAGAATATTGCCTTCTCTTGATGGTTGGGTGAATGTGCATCTGTCGCTAGTCCGCAAGTTCTCATTTTTTACTATCTGAAAACTCTTCTGCAACAAGCACCATAAGTCGGCTTTATCTGCTGATCTCAGATTTGCTGGAGCTTTTGTAGTCAGCATTTGAATTTGCGTTGATTAGATTCTTCGGAATGCGCTAGCGTACAGCATTGAGCAGAAAATCTCTGGAAACTATATTTGTATGGAACGTGTCACGGACGACAGGCTGAAAGGGGAGTTGGACACTCCTCCGAAACAAGGGAGGCAGAGGTCCAAATGAGCCGGTGAATCTGAAGAAATTCTGTTCAGACTGGACTCCTCCCATTGTGAAGGTCTTTCAGGATAAGCTTGAGCTACACCCGAGATAGAACCTGCCTTCGCTCGCACCGTGCAGATTTGGCAGTTCCTGGCCGAGGTAGAATGCGATGAGAGATTTAACGGAGCAAAATCTTTGAGCAGTGGCCCGGGACATGCGAGATTTGCACCTTCAGATACGGTCGCGCCGGGTTAGACGGGTGTCTGAATTCATGACGCATGAAAGATGGTTGAGGACACATGAGAAATTTTGGAGCCACGACTCTTGCGCGCGCCTGGCTATCCTAATCATTGATCAGATCAGCAGTCAGAGGATGACCTGGGAAGGAGAAAAGGCCTGACGTGACTCACGACGACGACCTTGGGTGGTGTTGGCCATGTTGGAACTAGAATCTGGCCGGGCAAAGCCAAGTCACTGCTCAAAGATGCAGTAGTAGTTGCTGATGCTCTCATCGATGATCAGTGGAAAGCAATGAGTGGTTTCGTACGGTACACTATGGGAATTTGGAATGTGACACTCCAGCTTCAGCGCCTGCTCATGCCTACCCATGGTCTGCCTGTCCGCAGAAAACGTCGAGGACCCGGCCTATATATGAGCCAATTCTTCATATTACAATCACCTCCAACTTCTCTTCCTCTGAGAAACCTCTCCAGGAGAGTGTAGTGCACAGGGGCAACCAAGAAATGTGTGTCCTTCACTACTGATGTGCTTGGACCCCACGGAGAAAATCAGTCGAACTGACGAGAGAAAACTGCAGCCATGGCAGGATTTGAGAACCTGACCGATGAGACGGCGGATTTGGTATAAATTCACCGAGTTTGCTCGATTTCGCAACATATAAAACATAACGTAGTGCAAGTATAGCATTGTTCAGTGTTCTTTGGCCTTTTGAGCTGAGCATATTGGTGAATGTGTTGACGTTCAAGTTTTGATCTCGTGGGTTCGATTGTGGGCGTTTCAGGAACACATTCCAATTGAGGAAGTATTTGTACAGCTGAAATGTACGACCGAAGGTCTTACAACGACGGAAGGAGAAGCTCGAATAAAAATTTTTGGATACAACAAATTGGAAGAGAAGAAGGTATGGTTTCCTTTGCTTCATTCTCCCTGTGACTTTAAATCTCTGTCCTTATCAAAAGCGATGAGTCTCATGATTATGAGTCTTTTGTTGAGCAACTTGTGTAGCACATACGAGATAAGACTTTACATTTGGCGTATGGAATCGACTTCTGAATAAGAAATAGCCTTTAGTAGACTGTTCGGTCAGTCATTAGTTTCGGGCATCACTTGGGCTCGGACGTTCGATTATGTCCTGACTCTTCGTGGTCTTTACCTCGACGTCTGTAATTAGAACTTAGAACTGATATTCACGATGAGGAAATGTCACAGGCTGACGAAAAGTTGATGTGTTCTTACAGGAGAGCAAAATACTGAAGTTCTTGGGGTTCATGTGGAATCCTCTATCATGGGTCATGGAAGCTGCTGCAGTCATGGCCATCGCACTGGCCAACGGAGGGGTATGACTTTAAACTCTGCAAGCTCTCGAATATGAATTCAAATCTTGACTACATTGAAAAACTTGTTCAGTATCGATTGAATAGCTAAACACTCAAGTACTAGCATCTGAAAGGATGGCTCTTTCGGGCATTGCAGGGTCAGCCACCTGACTGGCAAGACTTCATCGGTATCATCACACTCCTCGTTATCAACTCCACGATCAGTTTTATCGAGGAGAATAACGCAGGAAACGCAGCAGCATCTTTGATGGCTCGACTTGCACCCAAGACGAAGGTTGGTTGTTCATGCATGCTCTGTGTGCGTTTGGAAGATCTTGCCAGCGCTTGTTCAGACGCTCGAATTTGTTAAATCAGCCTCTAATCGTCATGGACATTTCCCACACTGTCAGGTGCTGCGAGATGGAAAATGGTCTGAGCAGGAAGCAGTAATTCTAGTTCCCGGTGACATCATCAGCATCAAGTTGGGCGACATCGTCCCTGCAGACGCCCGTCTCCTCGAAGGAGATCCTTTAAAGATTGACCAGGTTAGAGAACATTCCAATCTCTAACGGGGTCGAGGGCTTTACTCAAACGGACACAATTGCAAATACGATCAGCGCTTTTCATGTGGGAGAGAAGCTTTGCTGTTGGATTCTGACTTTGGTCTACGTGCTTGCAGTCTGCCCTCACCGGTGAGTCCCTGCCAGTCACAAAAAAACCAGGAGATGAAGTGTATTCAGGTTCCACATGCAAACAAGGAGAACTCGAGGCGGTGGTTATTGCAACCGGAGTTCACAGTTTCTTCGGAAAAGCTGCTCATCTTGTCGACAGCACACACCAAGTGGGCCATTTCCAGAAGGTCAGAATTTGTCAACCGGACATAAAGTTTTGCTGTAGTTCCTGAGAGTACGAGCATTCCACTGAATTTGAGTTCTTCAGCATTTTCTCACATACTACGTCTTAATAGTTCATGAGTTCCTTGGAAAATCTAACGCTCCTATCTGATGGCCACAATCGCAGGTTCTCACATCCATCGGAAACTTCTGCATTGTCTCCATCGCTATAGGACTATTCATCGAAATCGTAGTCATGTATGGACATCAGAAGAGGAAGTACCGTGAAGGAATTGACAACTTGCTTGTGCTGCTCATCGGTGGTATTCCGATCGCTATGCCAACTGTGCTCTCTGTCACTATGGCTATCGGATCTCACCGCCTGTCGCAGCAGGTGAATATCTGATGAATTGGCTCCGTCCATGCTTCTACCTCATAGTCAAAGTGCAGATATGCGAAGATGTGCGATTTACATTTTCGGATAGTCTCTTCCAAGTGTTCCTGGTTGAAGCTCTTCACAAAATTTACGAGCAACTTCTGAGCAATGCGTGGTCTGCTCTTATTCACAGGGTGCTATCACGAAACGAATGACCGCCATAGAGGAGCTGGCGGGCATGGATGTCCTTTGCAGTGACAAAACCGGAACTCTGACCTTGAACAAACTGAGTGTGGATAAAAATATTATCGAGGTAAAGAAAGTCCGAATTCTTTTTCAAATCCAGTGAGTTGGCCTGGTTTTAGTAAGCAAGTTACGCACTGAAGTTGGATGCTTTAGAAGCTCGACCTTTCGAAATAAGGAGTTGCTGACATATGATTTGTTTCGAGCACTGCAGTGCTTTGCCAAGGGCGTGGACCAGGACTTCATTGTCTTATCAGCGGCAAGAGCAGCCAGGACAGAAAATCAAGATGCCATCGATGCAGCCATCGTTGGAATGCTTTCTGATCCCAAAGAGGTTCTGTCCCAGTCATTCGAAATCGACTTGAATATCTTCGACAAAGTCAAAGACTTTTCCTTTGAAGAGCATCATGTAAATCAGTGATTGGACTGGAAAACTTACTAACACAATTTTCGGTGTTCAGGCTCGTGCTGGTATCCGAGAAGTTCATTTCCTTCCCTTCAACCCCGTGGACAAGCGCACAGCCATTACGTTCGTAGATGAAGCTGGAAACTGGCACAGAGCTACCAAGGGAGCTCCCGAAGAGGTAGCCACTCGCAATTGATCCACTCACTCACACAATTGCACATATGTCACATATCTGCCACACCCACACTCACCAACAAACGAGTGGCTGCTGACATAAGTGCTCTGCTTGCCTCAGATTCTTCACTTGGCAAAGAACAAAGACCAGATTGCCAGCAGAGTGCATTCAGTGATCGATAAGTTTGCCGAACGTGGGCTGCGATCGCTCGCGGTCGCAAGGCAGGCAAGTTTCTAGCTCGGAGGCATCTGGCTGTGTCGGACTGTTCCTTTCTGCATGAAGGAATCAGAGAAAGATTTCATTTCTAACTCCAGGTTTTTTTCTCCACCTGCAGGAAGTACCCGAAAAGTCCAAAGATAGCCCAGGAGGTCCATGGGAATTCCTCGGCCTGTTACCTCTCTTCGATCCACCTCGTCATGACAGTGCGGAGACCATCCGCAAGGCTTTGGAATTGGGTGTGAACGTCAAAATGATCACAGGTATGAATTCTATCACTCTGTAACATTGAGATGTTTGACAATTGTGCACTGTCGTCATGAGAGCTGCATTCCGACCATCTCAGGTCATGATAAGCCCAACGAGATAAGATTACGTTGTAACACCGTGAAAGGAGCAAAATCTTCGAGGGAATGCATGGAGCCAGTGTAGCGATAGCAACTTAAAACGACCTCGTCCTTGTGACAGGTGATCAACTTGCGATTGCCAAGGAGACTGGTCGTCGACTAGGAATGGGAACGAACATGTACCCTTCTGCGGCGCTTCTGGGGAAACACAAGGATGAATCCATTGCAGGACTGCCCATCGATGAGCTCATAGAAAATGCTGATGGGTTTGCAGGAGTTTTCCCAGGTACAGCCTGCACTCTTGAAGTAAAAATTGCCTGTGATTCCAATTTGAGCGTTACTGATTGATCTCACCGACGTTTCTGTCCTATGACATGCACGTGCAGAACATAAATATGAAATTGTCAAAATCTTGCAAGAGAAGAAACACATATGTGGAATGACTGGAGATGGTGTGAATGATGCCCCCGCACTGAAGAAAGCCGACATCGGTATAGCAGTATCTGATGCTACGGACGCAGCCCGTGGTGCGTCAGATATTGTTCTTACGGAACCCGGTCTCAGTGTCATCATCAGTGCCGTTCTCACCAGTCGAGCAATCTTCCAGAGGATGAAGAATTACACGGTAACAGATCCTGTGTGCCTATTATCACATCCTTTCAGTTGGATCTCCAGAATATGGCCAGTCTAGATTTGTGTCCATGACAAACTTTCCATTCCTAAATAAGATTGTGAAACTCCATGTCCATTATAGAATCGGAGAAGAAATGACTAACAGCAAAAAAATTGTTCATTTTCAAAACAGATTTATGCCGTCTCAATCACCATCCGTATAGTGGTAAGCACAAAATTCTTGGCTCATATTCACCTTCCGTTGTGTTCGAGAAGAAGAATGTCCTGACATCAATTTTTCTTTCACGGTGAAGCTGTCTCGTCATGGCGATTTAATGTCACCGTTCACACTGTCCTTGCAGCTGGGATTCATGTTGCTCACCTTGATCTGGAAGTTCGACTTCTCGCCATTCATGGTTTTGATCATCGCCATTCTCAACGATGGTATGTCGTTCTTCTTACGACTATCAGATTCAATTCTTTGGTGCAGTTGGTTTGTGGGAGGGTCTAATTCGAGAAGCAGGCAAGATTAGGCACGTCTTGAATGGGACAGAGCAGGATGCATGTCTGAGACCGGGATCCTTGTTGTCTTCAGGAACAATTATGACCATCTCCAAGGATCGAGTGAAACCATCTCCTCTTCCTGACAGCTGGAAACTGAAGGAAATTTTCGCCCAAGGTGTCGTCATCGGCATATACCTTGCAATGATGACAGTTCTGTTTTTCTGGGCGGCTAATGAAACCCACTTCTTTGAGGTAAATCCCAAGCCATTCAGCCAGTCATCTGATACTCCGAGGTCTGTTCCCGTATCAGCTTGACAACTCGTACTCTGCAGTATCTCCAGCGTCAGCTGAGTCATGATGGATTCTGATCGTCCCCGCAGAATGCGTTCGGCGTGCACTCGCTGCACAAAAATCATGCCGAGCTTACGGCGGCCGTTTATCTTCAAGTCAGCATCATCAGTCAAGCTTTGATCTTCGTCACTCGATCTGTCGGCTGGTGTTTCACGGAGCGACCGGGATCCCTCCTGATGAGTGCCTTCGTCATAGCGCAACTGGTACGTTCCTGTCACGAGTCTCCTTCCTTCCTAGATTGTATTGCTGGATGCGCTCTTCTATCCATATGTCGAACTCGTGTAGATATATATTGGACAGTATTGGACTTAGTACTCTGCGGGGTTACCAAGTTTGATTCCTCAATGTTCCCATATTCATGTTCAGTTTATGCCATTTCGTCTTCCTTACGGGCAAAATTCTCGAGGGTGGTGCGGTGATAGGATCTGAACTGGGTGCTGCTGTCACCTGCAGGTTGCCACGTTTTTATCCGTGTATGCGAACTGGAGCTTTGCTCACATCAAGGGTGTCGGCTGGGGATGGGCCGGTGTCATTTGGCTTTACTCCTTCATCACTTTCATTCCCCTTGACCCCATCAAGTTCGCCATCCGCTACATTTTGAGTGGAAGAGCGTGGGATCTCATGTTGGAACGACGGGTAACAAATTTTGCCCAACTACACTCAAGAATTAATACTTCGATGATACTTGAATCTGCTGTTTGATAATTGAGGTACGCCATGATGCAACTGCCTTCTGACACGGATCCTGTGTGCCTCTCTCGACACAGACTGCATTCACCACCAAGAAGGATTTTGGAAAGGATGATCGACAAGCCCAATGGGCGCACCAGCAGCGAACTCTTCACGGTTTGAGCACCGGTGACCATAAGAAGGAACCTGAGATGCCGGAGCTGGCATTCGAAGCGAAGCGAAGAGCAGAAATGGCAAGGTAAGTGACCAGAACCACATGCTCCGCCATCCAACTCCATACCTGCTTTCCAGCATGAGATCCTACCTACCATGCATTGGATTCACTGACACCATCATTTCTCTGGCTTGCAACAGGCTGCGAGAGCTGAACACGTTGAAAGGACATGTGGAATCCGTCGTCAGAATGAAAGGAATCGACATCGACACCATTCAGCAGTCGTACACCGTGTGAGGCCTCGTGTGTTGAACAAGCATCACCCACAAACACAGAAACCAATTTTGATTTATCTCGTTTAGCAGACCACAGGTCTTTGAGGCTTAGATGAGTCGAATAATGCGTTTGCAAGAACGTCATGTTCTCAACTCAGAGCACCCTCCCTCCCTCCCTCCATCTTTCCCTCCCTTTGTAGCTTGTTACAGAGACAGCAAAGTGGTGTTTCAAGCAGAAAAAAATGCTGCAGTCTACTTTTTAGGTTGTGTTAGCAAGAGTCGCATCAGAAGCCTAAACATCAAGCTTAGAAGGAAATAATCACACTGCACGGGAGCGACATGGACCCAATAAACAGGGATAGTAGCGTAGAAGGCTGATTCCATGATTCCTCATTCACGTTGCAAATCAGAGGAATCTGAAAGTCTGGAAGAGCTGCTGCCTGTACTAGAATCAGTTTCTGGACATAATGCTCCAGGACCTGTGGTTGAGTTTTTAATAAAGCTATCTCGGCAGAGTGTGGTTGCTCTATTGACTTATATCCAGAAGTGCCTCGAGATCTCGTACTGGTTCACGTGTCTATATTATCCCTGCCCACATGCAGCACATGAGGAATATGAATAGTACTTATTTTTTCACGACTTCTTCTCACTTCATATAAAATGAGTTGTCATCAGAAGACACGAGGCTGTTGCTGCATTCAACAGCCAAATTACATGACGACTACAGCTCACCTAGAGTTCGTTTGTTGAGTGTTCACGGTCCCCATTAGTCAAGAACCGAGGAAGAAATATAAACCTTGGCGTTAATTCTGTATATATCCCTGCTTTAGGACTACAAAAAATTTCAGTCGACAGCAAATTTTGATGTTCAGGAGTATAATATCAAAACTTTTCGGTTACAGTTAGCTACTGGAGAAAAAGTTCAGTTTCGACTTTCAGCTGACAGACAACCTTCTGGAAATAGGCTTACGAGAAACTGTCGAGAGTTTCTTCATCCGCACTGGATTTCATACTGCCTGATTTCGATTTCCTCGGCTCGTTAGCTAGCTTGCTTGCTTGCATACTGGATATGCTCTCTCTTCAAGCGATCAACTCACCCTGTTACTTGCAGTATGACATCCCTCGATTAATGGCAAGACATTCATACCGAGCATTTATATATACTCAGTCTTGCCAATATGTTCATGGCTAATGGCAAACGTTACTTTTCTCCCTATATATAATTACTTAACAGTCGCAGGGCCCGTAAGAACAGACAGCTTGTAAGACAATGGAACATTGTGTTACATAGAGAAAATTAATTGATGGTTCCCTCCGCAACGCAAAGCACTTGGGGAGACCACAAACATTTCATTTTACCGGATGGAACCATCCTACGACCTTTCAGCCCACAGTCACGTCACCCATGTTCCCATACTTGTAATGTGTATGTGATTTCAAAAGTTCCATCCATAGTGTGAACAGAGTGATAGTTTTAGTCCGGAATGTTAGCAAAGGTACATTACGTTGAGTAGGTTTGGAGAATTAATATGTGGCGAGTTGATAATTCTAGCATTCTAGAGTTGATAATGTTGCATGAACAAAGCATGAATATGAAATTTATGAATATTTCTTCTGGCATCTCGAGTTGACTCGTTGTTGTTCCGGCACAAGAGGCTGCAGTGGATTGTACTTTTCGCTACCCATCGTATCATAATCTATCGTTGAGTGCGGGAATGGACTTGGAAAACATGGATGTTAGACCCGTGAGCAAAGCAGTTACAAGAAATCGCAGGTGAAGGTGGGGTCCCATAGTGTAAAATGAACCTTCTGGGGTCCCCGCTAGTGTTTTGCCATCCGGAGGGTCCCATCAATTAATTTTCTCACAATGTTCCTGGTCTTACATGCTGGCTGTTCTGAGATTGAACACATTTCGCCTCGGTTACGGCGAATTGTGGTTTCCATAACATCTACAAGTTTCTCCTACGTGAACCTCAACAACGTATTTGGGATACCAGGCGCATCCGGTTGTTTCATATTTATGTACAAACGTATTCCTAGACTCAACGGGAGTTGGCATCATCATGCATGTTACAGAGAGAGTGGGAGGATTGGAATATCTTATTAAATATATTTTTTTATTTTTATAGCCATTAAACTATGCCTAAATGTTGTGAGAGCTCTTCTTACAATGTCTACTCACTTATCCATTCCTTATGGAATTCTAAATCTACCTTTTGATTTTGGACTTTGGCTTTGATCATTCTACTCAGATTTTGGCAAACCTGGTTTGAAATCGTCAAATAGTTAGTGGCTTGTGTTTTATTTCCCGTGTTGAAGAGTTTTGAAAATTGTGTGGGATGCAGCTGCGTGGAGAAGTAGATACGTTTGCCCTCTCATACAAAACAAAAGTAGTTGATAAATGAAGACAGATTTATATTTATGAGCATTCGAGTCATTTAGGTGGAGGAGTCACGTTAAGATCGAACGATCGATACGGTCAGAAATATGCTACTTGTGGTAAAATTATGTACCAAAGCAGAAGAACTTGAAGCCTGAATGAACTATCAATTCGCTAAGTTAGATCAATCGAATCACTACGCGGAAATCGTCAATCGATCTATCGAATTTCAGAACGGAACAGTTGAGAAAAGATTTAGCCCATGAATAGAGAAGAACGAGTACAATCGCCGGGGAACAGTGGACGACAACCTCCCGGAAGTCGATAACTCATTCGAGTGGAGACTGGACGGTAGAGAAAGGTAAACCATGTCTGCCGTGACTGGAACACTTCAAAATAAACCACATCAATGAGTTCAGCAGGCCCGAGTCCGGGCTGTGAAATATACCCATACCAACCGCAATGGCTGCTGCTGCATGAACCGCTTCACTTCGCCATTGGTGATGAATGGCAGAGCAGAGTGTGCAACGACGGAAGGCAGGAGATTGATCAACAGTGGCCGTTTGTATGGTGGAGGAAACGGAAGAGTGCTCCAGTTGTAGCGAGTCTGGTGAAATGGACATCGCGGCTCGAACTGATGGGCGAACGGGGGAGGCTGCCGTCGCTCCAACCTCCAGGGAGGGGTGGAGTGGAGCAGAGCAGATGAAGCCTCGACCTGATGATCCTGAGCTACAGTCGAGCTGCATACAGCCTTCCTTGCTCCGACCTCAGGAGTCTGGCAGCTCCCGCTCGACGTGAAGGAAGGAAGGGTGTGAGTTTAAGGATCAGAGCCCGAAGAGCAGGAACAGTGAAGGTGAGAGTTGCCAAGCATGCCATCCTCGCCTACAGTCCACTGAGTTCTACCGGTCCGAGCACATGACACAGATGGATGATGGACCTCGTGGAAAAGTCCTGGGGTTTCAGACTCCTTAGCGTGGGCAAAACGATCATGAGCAATGGAATGATGACCTGGTTCTCGGGAAGTATCTGATTCGAGAGAGGGAGGACGATACCAGCCGGTGGTGGTGCCCATGTTGGAATCTCGCTCGGGCTTCTCCGGGCCGGATTATTACCAGCGTCACTGCTCCAGAGGTGCAGTCCAAGTGAGTGCAGCTAGCTTCTGATTTTGCTGTCGAGGATCGCAGGATTCAGTACGCAACTGCGATTGCGGATGTCTCTGCAGTACGTGAAAATGCCTCCCCATGCTGCGCCTGTTCGAATATCATTTGAAGAGAACTTGAAGGCCCTTATAAAGGACGATGTTTTCGATGCATTTTCCATCTCCATCTTCTCTTTCCTTCGGGTGTTCTTCCAGGCGAGAGTGGTGAACGCAGGTAATCTTCAGATGAGTGTTCTTCACTGCTGAAGAGTGCGGACCCGATCAAGGGAGTGAACCAGTCGACTTGGCAAGGATCTCAGGCCTGCAACGATGGCGGGATTTGAGAATCTGACGAATGAAACGGCGGACTTGGTAATGTCGAGAGATCATTTCTGCAATCACTTCCAATTCTTTGTGAAATTCTCTCAGAACCTGCTCAGAACCTGAATTCTCTCAGAAACTCAGAGCCCTGCTTGCAATTCGACGGATTTCAATCTGGCCGTAGTGCTGAGCAGCCTGTTTCGTGTGTGGATTTAGGAACACATCCCGGTGGAGGAAGTGTTCGTTCAGCTGAAATGCACGAGGGAAGGTCTGAGCACCAAGGAAGGAGACGCTCGCATTCTAGTTTTTGGATACAACAAACTAGAGGAGAAAAAGGTACAATCATCTATCGGTCGCATTTCTGGAAAATTCGATTTACCTGTATCCAGATAGCGAAGAGAGATGATTCCTCGCCAGTCAGATCAGTCAAGAGATGGCAGTCTTCAATTGTGGCTATCAGTCTCTCGTGCACATATTTCCACTTCATAGGGTGCTCACAATTATGAACTCATGTACTCGTCTCGTCGCTTCGAATGAATTCAACATGTGTGCCGATGACAATACTGGTCTAAAATCATAATTCAAATTGGGCTTCGTGCAGGAGAGCAAAATTCTCAAATTCCTGGGTTTCATGTGGAACCCGCTCTCATGGGTCATGGAAGCTGCTGCGATTATGGCCATCGCCCTGGCTAACGGAGGAGTAAGATGTTCAATTTAGAGGAATCGCGAAGTTTGTGGTTTCAAAGTCTGATATCGAGCTATTGGAAGCATTTGAGAATTCTAGATCCAGCGCTGCAGATTCCTCCTCACTAGTATGCAAATTATTCTCAACGCAAGTTTGTTCGGCACATTGCAGGGTCAGCCACCGGACTGGCAAGATTTTATCGGCATTCTCACGCTGCTAGTGATCAATTCCACGATCAGTTTTATCGAAGAGAACAACGCAGGAAACGCAGCAGCTTCTCTCATGGCTCGCCTCGCGCCCAAAACAAAGGTTTGTCCATTCATATCCAACGCTGAGCTTACCCTGACTGAACCTGGGCACAACCTCTGGAGCCCTTTGCCAAATCGAACCGATTTGTAACGAGCTCGTTTGTGCAGGTGCTGCGAGATGGAAAATGGGCTGAGCAGGAAGCAGTCATTCTCGTTCCCGGTGACATCATCAGCATCAAGTTGGGCGACATCGTCCCTGCTGACGCCCGCCTCCTCGAAGGAGATCCTTTAAAAATTGACCAGGTAAGTGAACAACGAAGGATCCTATTCTCTATGGCTCCATTTCAGCTGAAACTCCATCACTTCAGTCTGAATCCATGTCTGCGCTTCTGACCTGAGCTCGTTCTCTCGCAACTGCAGTCTGCTCTCACCGGTGAGTCCCTCCCCGTCACCAAGAAGCCAGGAGATGAAGTCTACTCAGGTTCCACCTGCAAGCAAGGAGAGCTCGAGGCTGTGGTCATTGCCACCGGAGTTCACAGTTTCTTCGGAAAAGCTGCTCATCTTGTCGACAGCACACATCAAGTCGGACATTTCCAGAAGGTGACACAATCTGATCCGCTGAATTCGTTGGCCTCCATTCCGTTCTCTTCTGCATTTTATTCCTCCTGCAGGTTTTCTGAATGTTATATTTCGTCTGATCTTCTGTCGGGTTTCTGGACTTAGGTGCTCACCTCCATCGGAAACTTCTGCATCGTCTCAATCGCCACGGGTCTTATAGTGGAGATCATAGTCATGTATGCGGTTCAGAAGAGGAAGTACCGCGAGGGAATCGATAACTTGCTCGTGCTGCTCATCGGTGGTATTCCAATTGCCATGCCCACCGTGTTGTCTGTCACCATGGCCATCGGGTCTCATCGCCTATCCCAGCAGGTACCGTGCGTTCACGTGAATTCCTTCGATGTCATCGCAAATCTTCTTACATAACATCACAACCTCGAGCCCTTAACCGAATTGACAACGATTGTGGATATTTGGTGCAATTTTCGCCATGGATTTCTCCTTAACAACAAGTGGTATGTTTCTATCGACAGGGTGCTATCACGAAGCGAATGACAGCCATTGAGGAGCTCGCAGGCATGGATGTCCTTTGCAGTGACAAGACTGGGACTCTGACTTTGAACAAATTGAGTGTCGATAAAAACATCATCGAGGTAGTTGGAAAGCCAATTGAGCTGCTTCTGGTCGACTAGTGTGGATTGGGTCTCGAATGTAGTGACTTGCGAGAAATTGAGGTTCTGAAATTACTGACCGACTTGTGGTCGCGAATCTTGCAGGTCTTTGCGAAGGGTATCGACAGAGACTTCGTTGTCTTGTCAGCGGCACGAGCGGCTAGGACTGAAAACCAAGACGCAATCGATGCCGCCATAGTTGGAATGCTTGCTGATCCAAAAGAGGTTCACTCCAAACCTTTCAAGTCACTGAATTCTGATCACAATCATCTTCTGTCTGTCCTGAGTCCATCCTGTTTCGAGGATTTTAAAACTAAGAATCGCTGACACCGTGTTCAGGCTCGTGCTGGTATCCGAGAGGTTCACTTCCTCCCCTTCAATCCTGTGGACAAGCGCACAGCCATCACATTCGTCGACGAAGCGGGAAAATGGCACAGAGCAACCAAAGGAGCTCCAGAAGAGGTACGCATGAGGTTTCTGGATACATAGAAGCTCCCAGCAGAGACATTTCAGCGGTTCAAGCAAAGTACTGATTCTAGCAGAACTTCGACTCGAGATGATCTGATTGTTCTTCTTGCTGCAGATTCTGCATTTGGCCAAAAACAAGGACCAGATTGAAGCCAGAGTGCATCAAGTGATCGACAAGTTCGCTGAACGTGGACTGCGATCTCTCGCCGTTGCAAGACAGGCAAGACTAGACATCGACTGCAAGTCTTGCTTTCTCGCTCTTCTTCTATTGCCTCGAGCCAAAGATTACTGGAACTCTGGCATTAATTCTACCTCTGCTCAACGCGCAGGAAGTGCCAGAAAAGTCCAAGGACAGTCCTGGCGGTCCCTGGGAGTTCCTCGGCCTCTTGGCTCTCTTCGACCCACCTCGTCATGACAGTGCAGAGACCATCCGGAAGGCTCTGGAATTGGGAGTCAATGTGAAGATGATCACAGGTATTAACTCGAAGAACTGTCCGTCAGTCTCAACTGATTCTCAGCTTCCGCCAGGTGATCAACTCTTCTTTCTTGTGACCAGGTGATCAACTCGCCATTGCCAAGGAGACCGGACGTCGTTTAGGAATGGGAACGAACATGTACCCCTCTGCAGCGCTGCTCGGAAAGCACAAGGATGAATCGATTGCAGGACTGCCCATTGACGAACTTATCGAAAATGCCGATGGTTTCGCAGGAGTGTTTCCAGGTACGGCATGGGCATTGGCATTGGCAAGGGTCTATTCTGCTCGTGACAATTCACTCATCTAACTTTCTGTGGATGAACTTATTCATTCATCTGACTTTGCGAGCAGCATAGAGCTGAGTTCTTCTTCTCGCCTTCTGACTGTGCAGAGCACAAATACGAGATCGTGAAAATCTTGCAAGAGAAGAAGCACATCTGCGGAATGACTGGGGATGGTGTGAACGATGCGCCTGCTCTGAAGAAAGCTGACATCGGTATCGCAGTTTCTGATGCTACGGACGCAGCCCGCGGTGCGTCGGATATCGTTCTGACAGAACCAGGTCTCAGTGTTATCATCCATGCCGTTCTCACCAGTCGAGCAATCTTCCAGAGGATGAAGAATTATACGGTAAACAACTATCAAACTTACTCACTTTTATCTACTTCGATTTCTAATATCAACACCTCTTCCTTGATCTGTGGTCCGGTACAAATTTCCCTCGGGATTCCATTTCCTTTCAACAATTCCAGTTCCAGTCTTATTTCTCTGCAAATCGTAGGTGACTGACTGTGGACTGTGGTCCTCCTTGCCAACAGATATATGCTGTCTCCATCACCATCCGTATTGTGGTACGTGAAGATTTTCTCGAGCGCCAATTTAATATGCACTTCTGCCTGAAAGAACATGATTCCCAATGTGCATTCACCCTCAAGATTTCCATCATGCAGTTCATGAGGTTGTCGATACACTCGCTAGAATGCGTCTTGAGTACTTGTCTTCTTACGAACCGCCACTGTCCTTGCAGCTTGGATTTCTGCTGCTCACTTTGATTTGGAAGTTCGACTTCTCTCCGTTCATGGTCTTGATCATTGCCATATTGAACGACGGTAAGAAGTTTGCTCTGCCCGCTATCAGACGACAATGGACCAGCACGGCATACTTTTGATTCTAAATCCTTGCACCGTTTGAGCAGAGCACAGAGGATTGTGATGGTAAGGGAACCTAAGAAGGACTCGTACTGAAATGTATTCAGGTACCATCATGACTATCTCCAAGGATCGAGTGAAACCATCTCCTCTTCCTGATAGCTGGAAACTGAAGGAGATTTTTGCCCAAGGTGTCGTCATCGGCATATACCTTGCAATGATGACTGTGCTCTTCTTCTGGGCTGCCAATGATACCCACTTCTTTGAGGTGAAAATGCAGCCACTGCTTCGAACCACATTTGCTTCGAAATGTCAAGAAAACAGAATGTTGCCAGGGTGAGGAAGGCCCATGTTTCGAGATGTCTGCCTTATGCACTTTGGCTGTACTGAATTCTGATGATATATGCAGAACGCGTTCGGTGTGCACTCGCTGCATAAAAACCATGCCGAGCTCACGGCAGCAATATATCTGCAAGTCAGCATCATCAGTCAAGCTTTGATCTTTGTCACTCGATCTGTGGGCTGGTGCTTCACGGAACGACCGGGATCCCTTCTAATGTGTGCCTTTGTCGCAGCACAACTCGTAAGTATCACTCTGTACTGTCTGTATGTCTGCTCAGTGATTCCCATTGCCATCCAGCTGCTGAATAGGCCTGATCAACTGCAAATGGCTGCTGTCAACGCGAATTGCAGGTTGCCACGTTGTTATCCGTGTATGCAAACTGGACATTTGCTCACATCAAGGGTATCGGCTGGAAATGGGCTGGTGTAATCTGGCTGTACTCCATCATCAGCTTCATACCCCTGGACCCCATCAAGTTTGCCATCCGCTACATATTGAGCGGAAAAGCATGGAATTTGATGTTGGAACGCCGGGTAAGCATAAAACTGCTTCTCCTGCGGGGATTTCCTCGTTCATTCTTTCTGGAGAGAGATCTGAATCTGAAGCTCAACATTTCTGACTGGAATCTGCTTACCGTGAATGATCCCCATGCAGACTGCATTCACCAGCAAGAAGGACTTCGGAAAGGATGATCGACAGGCCCAATGGGCACATCAACAGCGAACACTCCACGGGCTCACGACAGTAGACGCCAAGAAAGAAATCGAGGACGTGCCTGAGTTGGCGTTGGAGGCCAAACGAAGAGCAGAGATGGCCAGGTAAAACACGACACGACACGAACTCAGTCAGATCAAATTTTGTTCTCCACTACGATCTTCTAGCGATCTGACATTTCTGTTCTGTGAAACAGGTTGAGAGAGCTGTACACGTTGACAGGACATGTGGAATCTGTCGTGCGAATGAAAGGAATAGACACGAACGCCATTCAGCAGTCATACACATTATGATACTTTGTACAGACACCAGCCCAAGCCACAAACGAATACACCAAATCTGAACCATCTTCATCGACATGCGCTGGTCGTCGGGCCCTCGATGAGTCCACTGAAGGGGCTGGAGAGAACACTCGGTTCTCAAAACACGGAACTTCTGTGCACCCTCCCTTCGAGGATTTTTAGATGGACGACCAGGTCTTGCTCCATACTCACAGAGACACTCCGTCTTCTTCCATGAGTATGCTAGCAAGATCGTACCGAGTTGGAAGCTTAGGAGGAAACTGTCACAATCTAGTGGAGATTCAATTCGGCGAAGCTGCAGTAGATTGAGCAAATAATAAACAGAGCCAGTAGTTGGCTGAAATTAACGCCAGAAAAGGATATCTAGGAATGACTGGTACCATTAAGGTATCCGCTCCTCGATATCATTCACCTAAAACAGGGGAATGATTTCGTTCCTGTTTGTCTGTGTGATTTGAATAAACCTACTGTTTTCAGAACATGATCCCACACAGCTTTCTCGATTGTATGTTTGTGTATGATTTTGAGTTGGCCCGTAGTTTTTCGCTGCAGCCAGGAGCTGTCCCGTTCCTTTCAGATCAGAGTTCAATGCTTCACAGGCTTTTTCTCCACCACATGGCAATCATACCTCAACCTTTATTACAAATTATGGAAGACTTTTGAGAGGACCGTTGGACTAACAAGAGTAAGTCCACCTTAATCTAATGTTGAGATCTTCACTTGAACAGAAACAAATCTAAAGTCTAACTCTTTTCATGTGTTTATAGTTCGATTGGCAGATCAGTGAAGCGTCTTCATTCTCTCACTTGTGCTCATTTTCAGAATTCTGTTACAGGACATCAGCAACCTGAACGGCTAAAATAACAACATACATACCTCGAACACATGGGATATATATTCATGCGAAAGTTGAAAATCACTCGGCTAACTCAAATAAGAATGACGCCCGAAGACATAAGTCCTCGAGCATCATTCTTCTTTGAGTTACAGATTTAGTTATTTATTCAAAGATATCATCCACGTAGATGATTCTATTTCATTGGCACTGAAATCTCATAAAAAAAATATTCGAATATGATGATTCTAGTGTATAAGCAAAATGATTGTGAGATATTAACTTCAGTTATATGTATTTTTTCTGTAGAGTTTTTTTTATTTTTTATTGTTTAGTAATCAATTCGTCCATGTGGCAATATACTATGGGTTTTATAGGAATTGACGGCATTGATTTATTTTGATACTTTTCAGGGTTATAAGTCAGGTGATTTAAAGTTAGTTATAGGATTAAGTGATTCATTACAGTGTGAGAATTAGAGAACATATTGAGGGAGAATCAAGTGTGATGAAGTGTATGACTTCATTGGGAAACATAAGTGATTGTATTTGTGTGTATTTCTCACGGGACTGAAATTCCTGTAAAGATCGTGAGAAGTAAAAATCTGACAACATTGATTTTGGTTATATACTCGAACTAGCATCACCTAGTTCGTCGGGACCAGGGTTTAGAGTTGAACCTTGTCAACAAATTCTTGTGATGTGTGTGTATGAACTACAATTTCTGTTAATTTTGGGTATTCAAATTCTTACATTGGTATCACATCATCATAACATCAATCATGATTTCACAGCTTTGTTGAACCTGTCTCCTACTCTAAATTCATCTTGACGAACTCGGAAGCATCAAATCGCCTCGGAGAGCTCATAGGCAAGTCAGAAAGTAGCAACGATCTTCCACAGCAAAGCATCAACACAAATTTGTCACAACAAATCGTCTCGAGTTACAATTCTTAGAATCCCTTCCCGGCTATGAAACTCGAGATTGAGAAATTTGACGTCAATGGAGATTTCCGCATCTGGCGTCGGAAAATCTCAGCGCTTCTCATCCAGCAGAGATTGCACATGTCATCTCCAACCCAGTGTCATGGCTTGAAGACATTTTCCAAGATCAAAGAGAAGTAATGTTTGAAATGGTTATGGCTACGATCATCTTTCATACGTCTGATTCGATTATTTGCCTAATTGACAAGGAAGACACACGAGCAAAGGTGCTAAAGAAGCTTGAGTGAGATGTTTCAATGTCGCTTTCTCTTCAACAAGATCTAGCTGGAGGAGAGTCTCTTTGGATTTAGAATGGATCACACAAAGTCATTGGAAACCAACTTAGACGAGTTCTTGAAGATGACGATTGAGCTTGCAAATTCCGGTGACAAGGAAGAACTCAACGACGACAATAAGGCAATCATTGTTCTCAATTCCTTTCCAGAGTCAGGAAATGAAATCGGCAATCAAGTATAAAAGTTCATTAACCATTCTAGATGAAGTGACATCTGCACTCAAATCCAAAGACTTCAAAATTAGAGCAGACGAGAAGACTTACAATGATGGCAAAAAGCACAAGGCTCATGGAAAACAGTAGCGCAAAACATTGATGGAAGTAACTTGAAGTCCAAGAACCAAGTCAAAGCATCTACAAAATCCAACAGCCAAAGTTTCAAACCCAACGCTTCTATTGCAACAAGATGTATCACATCAAGAAGGATTGTTAATCATGAATGAAGAACAACAAGGAGAATCAAACTATTACATCACAAGGTCATCAAGATTCAACAAAATTTGGCGATGGTTGCAATGAAAGCAAAGTTTTCATGACGTCAATAAATTTCAAGACCTCGGATTGTATCCTTGACTATGGTTGCGCCTATCATATGACACATTTCAATAATGGAAAACAACCATTTTTTGTTCTATTGTTGATATATGATATGTTAGCGTTAAGATGGTTGATGGTGTTGTGAGAATTCTTGAAAATGTTAGATGTGTACCTGAATTGTATCGAAACCTGATCTCTATTAGCATTTTTCATGACTTGAATTATATTGACAAGATAGAGCAAAGCTCTATGTATATTGCAAAAGGTGTTATTGTTGTGAAGGGTATCAAGATAGCAAGTCTCTATCATCGGAGAATCTTATCATGGAGATGCGTCAGTTGCCACTACCCAAAATGATAGCAAATCTACACTTTGGCATTGAAGACTCTAACATAACATTGAGAAGAGTCTACGACTGTCTAGCAACCAGAATCTGCTGGGAAAGTACAAAGTCAGCAAACTTGATTTCTTAAAGCATTGCATTTTGGCAAAACAACACATGCAAAAATTCCCAACCGAAAAATACATGTCTACATAAGTTCTTGAGTAAATTTATTCAAATTTGTGAGATCACTCAAGTTATAGCAACACATGATGTAACTTCTCTTTTTATCTATTATCAATGAATTCTCTAAAAAAGTTTGAGTATATTTGTTGAAACACAAAAATTGGGCTTTTTAAAAATTTTTAAAAATGGAAAATTTAACTAATAGAAAAAGTTTAAGACTTTAAGAACGTACAATGATCTTGAGTTTTGTAATTCTAAGTTTGAACAGTTTTGTGTCAATGAGGGTATTCAAAGACATAAAACTGTGAGACTAATTCTTCAACAATACAAGGTTGCTGAGATAATGAACATTTCATTACTGAACAAGGCAAGAATCATGCTATTCAATTCCAGTTTGACTGAAGCTTTATGGAATGATGCAATGGTCATCTTTGCATATCTTGTAAATAGATGAGCTTCAAGTGTCATTGAGATCAAGACACCATAAAAAAATAGAATTCAAGGCCATCCGATCTCAATCACTTGAGAGTGTTTGGATGTTCTGACTATGTTCATCAAAGTTGTCATGTAACTCGTTATTTACTAAAAATAGCAATCCGCCTAGGGTTTCACTTTTGAGGTTTATAGTGTCGACGGTGACTCGAAGAACGTCAGTTCTTCGAATCGCGTTGTAATACATTTGAGTGTGTACGCTCTCGCGTCTTATATGTCTATGTGTGCGTATGTGTATGTGAGTAGGATTTCAACGATGTAGAATGTTTGACGATATATATTCGCATGACAAAGTCAAGGCAAATTGGAGCCAAGAGCCATCAAATATACGTTCCTTGGCTATTCGCAAAGTACAAAGGGATATCAATCATGGATAAGTAAAGTACACCATTTCAAAATTATCAATAATATAGACGTGATATTTAATGAGACTATTTTACCTTGTCAATCATGATCCAAGTTCTAGTACTCTAAGTGTCATTAATTTTGCAGAAACCTTAGAAACATTATTCAAGTAGAGCCAATTGTTCATGTCCAATGAACAATTGGCTCCTCCACAAGTCCAAGCCCAAAGCACCTCAAGTGACCATGAAAATTAGTATATACAAGCCCCACATTATGTTACTGAACCAAATGATCAAACTAGTCTGAAGCACAGCAACTAACTGCAAACAAGAGTTGATAAGCCATAGCAGGTAAGAGCAATCTCAACAAAATGTCTACTTTTTTACTAGTTAGAGAGAATAGAGAGATACAAGTCTTACACATAGATATGGCTTCTTCTCATTCTCTAAGATCCTTGACTACGCATTCACATCAGCCTTGGAAATTCAGATGAAGAAGCCCTCTACTATCAAGATGTTGTTGTTGGATCAAACTCATAAGAATGGAAGTAAGCTATGAGAGATAAAATGAAATCGTTGTACATGAACAAAACTTTGATCATGGTACTAAGATCTAAGGATCAAAAGCCAATTTTGTGTCGATGGCTCTATAAGATTAAAAAAAAATGTGATCAGTTTTGACAAGTCTAGGTTCAAAGCCAATCTATTGGCAAAAGGCTTCACAAAGGTTGAGGGAATCAAATATAATGAAATTTTCTCAACTATGATGAAGTACAAGACCATAAGGATTATACTTGCACTCGTAATCTAGTATAACTTAGAATTATAGTAAATGGACGTGTGAGCAGTGTTTCTTCACAACGACCTAGACAAAGTGTTTTACATGGAATAGCCACTAGGATATGAAGTGCATAAAGGCAAAAACATGATATGTCTACCAAAGAAATTGTTGTATGGTTTGAAGCACTCATTGCGTCAATGGTACGAACGTTTTGACACATTCATGCTTGAGCAAGGATACAACATCAGTTCTTAAGATGCATGCTTCTAATTTAAAGTAAATGAAGTATTGAAAAGCATCTATCTCCTCTGTATGTAGATGATATGTTACTGATCAACAACTTAACTTCAAAGATATCAGAATTCAAGAAGATTTTGAGCCAAAAATTTGATATGAAAGTTTTAGATGATTATACAAGAATCCTTTGAATTAGCATCATCAAAGATTTGAAAAATGATTCACTGGCTTTGTCACAGCGTGACTATTTGAAGAAGCTAGTTGACAAATTTGCCATGATAAATGCAAAGTCAATGAGTCAATCTCTGCAAGTTAATGCCCTATGTCAGCATCAGCAAAGCAAATCATGAAAAATGTTCCATATTCAAATGCAGTTGGCTCATGTACACTATTGTGTGTTCAAGAACTGATATTGCAAATGTCATTAGTGTTCTTAGCAGATACATGTCGAATC